ATGATGACATGCTTGCCTCTACGCCAGGATCCCAAATTAGTATAATTAATACAAGTACATGGCTTTAATAAAGCTGTGGTAAAAGTACACGTAAGTCAAAGCTCTTACTCATTATCTTCTTTAGGTTAACGATATGGTCATCAAATAATGCGTGCTATTTATTTTATTATAAATATTGCAGAAATATAAATCAATCAAGGGTGGTACGGTACAATAAACACATCGATCTGTAATAAAGTCTAAATATTTATTCTCAAATGATCTAAAAAAATTACGAAAATGGCCTTATTTATATCCAATGAATTGTGAAAACTGATGACCTCCGGACTCTCCATATCCCACTGTATCCTAGGACTTGCGTCTCATACTAGTCCAACTAATTGTACTGCGCGACGTGATATTGTGCTGGGCAATATCTCGCCTCTAAAGCGAGATTCTGCCCCAGAACGAAAATATCTCAGAATAATTAAAGCTTTGGCACGTCAATATATTTTGACTACGTCTCATACCTTTTCGTTAAGCCCGTGTTTTGTGATTAATCATTTGGAAAGCACACATTGGCTGTAGGGGCATAATTCAAAGGGTACATGCGATTTATGACAAAGCAACATGTTCATTTCTACAATATTTTATTTCAGTATTACGATATAAAACATGTACAATATACAACAACTGCATAACAGATTAGCGACACCCATTCACCATTTATCATCAGAAAATTTAACCTTATTTAGTTGTTGGTAACAGATCATAAACGTTGAACGAAATTAACATTGACCTCTTCAAAATTAGTCATATTGTTATATAATATCTATTGGTTTCCCACTTAAGATATCATACATCGACTAGTTTCAGTACGCTATGAATTAAAAGGGTATTTCCCAAATGATCTGTTTTTCTATTTTTAGCGCAGGGAAACCATTACTGTAGTATTCTTAATATAATTGCGGATATCATTGAAACAGGTCGGTGAATTTTCTTGGCAAGCTCTATTGTTCATTATTCATTTTCTCGTTGTACCGAAAGGATGTACTTGGGAAATAGAAATAAATAAGGAAAGAAATGTAACTAAGCAAATAAAACATTAATCACTTTTTTAATAATTGTTCAATTTCGCGTTCATTTGAATTACATTATTATCTTTGCTGTCATTACCGCGTTAGGTTAATCTCGATATTGAGGGATTAAAGTTAAATCAACGAAAAATTGATAATAATGCTGGAAATGATGCGCTCATAAAATGCTTATTTGCCAATGATCGTTTTACAAATAAATGTTTAATCATTGCTTTCACCGTTCTAAAGTTATAACTACAATAAATGTTTTGAAAATGAAACTTATTGTTCGAATATCGCTTATTTCAATTGTTACATGCAATTTAATTTAATGATTTTGTCTTATTTAATTAGAAACATTATTACGGTAATATTATACTTAATGAATATTCATATAATAAATTAAATCTTTCGTAAGATATTAATCTCGTAATTTAAGTATCTTTTGTATGTTCTAAACATGTACAGTCAGTTTTCTAATTGTTTTAGATTAACAATCTGGCTCCTTAAGATATATGTGCGTGTGTTCGTGTATGCGTACGTCCAACATGTCCAAAAGTGTTTTAAATGTTATATAAAAATTTGTATTGATAAAACTATGAAATAATGAAATTTCCTAATAATTGATAATTATCTTAACATCAGCAATAAGAAACTGCCATGGAATACCTGTATCTGCCAACTACTTTTCAGTGCGCATGCGCAAAACACCACCCCATATGCGTAGAAAATAATTGTACTGTATCAATATAAAACGCTGTCCCTGGCCATTTATTATTCATATTGTAGTTTTTTTCTGATATATATGGATTAATTGCAATGCAGGTAGAAGTGATATTAAAGATGTTTTATGTTTTACATGAAACGAATGAAAAAGACAGACATGCTTGAAATAGTTTGTGATACACAATGGCCTTTTACTTTTAAAAGTTCATGGAATTATTTAAAAGGGACTCAATAACTCTCTGGTGGCATTAGTCAAGAAAGATTTTGATCAAATCTATAATTGATACTTTTTAGGAAATTGTGTTATATATATAATATATATTCAGCTGATGAACTTTGTACACTACAACTTTTTCATTGTCATGGTAACGGTGATAAGCTGTATTACTGAAATCTAAAATAACTTCTATATTCTGTTCTGTAATATTCTGAAAAAGTAAATAATTTTAGACGTAATCATTACAGCTTATCATCGTAACCAAGAAATATAAAAAAAAAATACAATAATTACAAAAAGGCAGCATACAAAGTGCATTGGTTAAAGTGTATAAAGCTATATATCTTATTATCTGCTTCAAAAATTATTGTTTGAATTTTACAAAAGAATACTTCCAAAATGCTTGTATGAAATAAACATGGTAGATAATTGCCTTAAAAAAGAATGACGCATGCACAAAATCATGATTATTGGATAAAATCCTACTTAAAATAGCAAATAATATTTTGTTCCGGAACATTTTATTCTGTTTACGTACAATATTCATGTGTATTAAATAACAGGGACATTATATGTTATAACAATGTGTTCGGAAATCAACCATACATTGTATAGTAATGGAACCAATATAATTTTACTGTTAATAAATTTTATAAAAATATTTAATAAGATATAGATTTATACCCTTTAAACAGTGTCTATTCTAGGATTTGAAAAAAGAACAGGGGGGTTTTTAATTTTATCGAAAAATGAGAATTTATTACATTTAAAATTTTTACATAGAGAAAGAAGAAAATATCAATTTTATTGATATCTTTCCTTCTTTCTCTATGTAAAAAAATTTCCCCTGCCTCTGAAAAAAAGGGGGGAATTCCCAAAAATATGAGTGAATCCCCCATCCGCCCTCCTAGAATAGTTACAGGTTAAATTTCATAGATTACAAAATTACAATTATATCTAAAAACAAACTGATCTTGATGTACGTATAAGAACAAAATCTTCAAGTGTCCTTTAATATTTCTATAATTCGACTTAAGAGCGAATAGTTGCTATGCAATACATTCTTTATTTCTGGTGATCAGACATGCAGTCTATTTCTAAATAGTGAAGAGCTTGGAACTATATCAACCCATATCACTGTTTAATGTTTGTTAAGAACATGTCCCTTTTTAAAAAGTAATATTATAGTCAAATAAATAAAATACATACCTCATAAATTTTCTTTTAAAGTTTTTATTTAATGACTTAATATCATTTAATGAAATTTAATTTGTATAATTTATTATGTATGTTTGTATACATGTGTTGAAATATGACTGTATGTTATTTGATGAAATAAATATTGTTTGTACTAACCTAAATAACTCAGTTTTGAATTTTTCATTATATATTTATATAATTATATACTTAAATATGTCATTTATTTATTCTTTATTCATTATATCTTATTATGCATCTGCATATCTAATGATTTGCTTAAAATGTACATATATAACGAAACAAACACTTTTTTTATTTAACCATGACAGGTAACTTTACCAACGGGAGGCAGGGCATTCCCCTTTTACTTTCCAATTCGGGAAAGAAAACGTCCCTTTTTATTTACCCACGGCATTGACACAATACATTCATTCTTCATGCTAATAGTTTGAACTGGGCCTTAAGACAATTATCTAAAATATAATAGAGCGCAAATTTATTCTAAAAGAAGTAAAAAAATTCAAACTCGGATTTTTACATACAAACATACGCAAAAAAAACAATTGGAAAATCCATAGGATTTTTGTGATAGGAAGGGTCGTACATTTTGGTAAAGCATGTATACTTATATCATGTTTTCATTAAATATATGTATTCAACAGTGAATACTTCGGAAATAAATTCGGAAAATATTTTCATGGATTCAGTATGTATTATTTGATAGGAATAAATTATGTTTCAGACATCATTGCCTTATAAAGGATTTTAAGGGTCTTTTTGTATATTTTAATTAATGTCAACTTAACTTGTATGCAGTGCAGCATAATTTTTATGACACATTGATCATTACTATGAATACAAATGAGCCGTGTCACGACAAAACCAGCATAGTGCGTTTGCGACCAGCATGGATCCAGACCAGCCTGCGCATCCGCGCAGTCTGATCAGGATCCATGCCGTTCGCTTACAAACCCTTTAACAAGTAGAGAAACTGATAGCAAACAGCATGGATCCTGATCAGACTGCGCGGGTCTTTTTTTGCTGGTCGCAAACCCATTATGTTCGTTTGTCGTGACGCGGCTCAAATTAATCGAGCTCAACAAAACTTGTTTTATACTTGGATAATTTACCATTACCAGGTATGTTGTTCATTTCATACTGGTTGCTGTAATGAAAGAATCATTATGATATAGTCATTTTCATAACATATTGAAAATAGCTTTGTATTAATAAAACATGACACATGTTCTATAAATGGGGTAATATAGTTTCAGGTAATCAATTAATAACAAAGACAATGAGATCATCGGCGGTAAACCACAATCATAATTATAATTATAACACAACTGTATCAGTACAATTATCATCATACAAATATGTATTGTTATGTACAGTCAGGAAAATAGGAGTTTATTTCAATTATTTTTACGTTTATCTTTTATTTTGGTCTGACCATTTTACAATTCATTGCACCAATATATAAATATACATGTATATACATTGCACATAACCATTCTAAAGTAGCATTGTAAGACTTATAAGAGACTACTAAAAGTCCAGTCAATGTGTGAAAGAAAAAATACTTCAGAAAATGGGAAAAGCATCAAACTAGAAACAGACTTTTGGCCAGATGCATATTTTATTACAAATTGACTGAACTATAAGTATTATATATTATATTAAATTGCTACAATCTTAAAATAAATCTTAAGATAAAGGTTAGATATTCTTTGCTTATTTTGACAGCCACTTTATTATATTACCAGGGACAATAAATACCATGTAGTTAAAAAAGATTATTTTACAGCAATTACAATTTGAAATAATTATTTGCTTGTTACATCATTATTGTAAGCATGCAACTACGTTTATTATCATATGTACATGGGTTATATGGTCCTTCTTCCCTACTATCTGGTACATATAGATGAGAACATATGTCTATTGATATAATAGGACAAGTAGATCAAAAACCAACACAAATTTAAATATTAATATTATTGATAAATATAAATACTTGCCGAAAATAAACTAGGTCAATAATAATATTTGTGAGCGTTAACGGCCCATATTGCCTCAGAAATGCTAATTGTTTCTCAAAAGTATTATTATTATTCGCGCCCTGTTGTAGTTTTTAAAAAAAGTTACTATTTAACCAATTGCCTGAGTCATCTTTTGATTTTGTTTATTTTTGACAATTGATGGGTTAACATTCATTTAGTTTTTTGTATTGAAGTCAAGGTAATACTTTGCGAAGAATGATATAGAATGGACTTAGATCCTATTTTGACTGAAGCTATCCTCAACGCAAAAGCTAAACAAAATAAAATGATCTGCTCTGCGTCAACTATTATAATTTAATTTGTGACAACATGTGGTCTGAGCAATACTTTAGACCAATATCTAAGTTGTCACAACCATTACAAGTTTAAATATATTTTAACTTTCAGCATAATCGGTGTCAAAAATAAAATTATCAAAGAGTTTTCTTGATCAAGAATAACAAATTATATGTACACTGACCGCATTTCATCAAAATGAAGAAATTGGCAGTCTATTATTTTGCACAAATTGACGACGTTGAAGATCATTCTTAAACTTCCATGTAAAATTGCTAGAGTTTAAGTACACATTAACCGATAGACACTTTGGAATCAAGGTATATATTAATGTTAATTTAATTTACAATTTAAAGCGGAAAGGAATTGGGCCGAGAGACACTTAAAAGGCTTTAACTATCCACAAGTAAAATATTCGGTGCTGTATTAATTATTATTTTGTTATACTTTATAGTTTAGAATTTATAGTGTTTCAAGGACGAAAACATTAATATAAATTCAACGTAATTTATAGTAATCAACAAACAGCATTTAGCTTTGTGATGTAAAGCATTAATTACGTTTATTTTGATTTTGTTTATTTTCTTTTTTATCTTTTTTTTCAGGAATTATGATGTCGCTGCGTGATATCTGTTAATACAAGCAAAATGGTATGCACTGAAGCTGTGTATACCGAAGCATCTCTTTATCAAAAAATATTACTGAAACGTAAAGTACGAAAATGGCTATGTCAAAATTTGATGGCAGACTAGCCTCCCTCCAAAATTGGCCCAAACGCAACTTATTTGATCTTGTTGGACTTGCTCGGGGTGGACTTTATTTTCTTGGACGTAAGTTACTATGATGTTATGCCTTCATATATAACATCATCATCATCATCATCATCATCATTATTATTGTTATTATTATTATTATCATCATAATATCAGTGATAAGTAATTAAAATAGTGATAAAGATGATAATGATGATGGTCATTTAAATAATAATGAAATATTCTTATTTTATTTCTTTGAATTACATGCTCCACTTTTCCGTTTTAGATTCATGTCGCCAAAAGCGTTCATCTCTTTGTCTGTTTAATCCAAGTTATCTATTTCTCCTCTTTTTCAGCTAACGATGATGCTTATGACAGACTTAGGTGTGCATTTTGTGAGTTTATTGTGGCAAACTTGAAAGAAGGTGATGATTTGTTGACAATGCACGCCTCGTTTGTCCCAATGTGTTGGAAGATACTGACCTATAAAGGCAAAGAATTTGTACAGTCTGTCTTGCAAGAAGAGGAAGCAAATCTAGATGTAAGAATAATCGTTACTGTTCTCACTTATTTCATAATTTTGATTCTAGGTCCGTCTGATTTTGGCAATGTTTTCAGTTTCAAAACGCAAAATTTGGAAGCAAAGAATATGAATAATGTTTGAATGTGTTTAGATAATCAATTGTTTTATAATATTGCGAACATGTTTTGTACCATCCATGAACAGGCTCATTTAGACTCAGTCTGCAGCAGTAGTATAGGGGTCTCTTTGGGGCACGACTGCGCATGCGCGACGCCATATTGGATTCTATTTTTAGAATGACATTATCGTTCTATTTTAAGAATGACATCGTTCTATTTTTAGAATGACATTATCGTTCTATTTTTAATCTCCCGGAAGTATACGGAGCTGACTCGTATACACGATTTAGGGCTTGAATCGCGGACATTGAGGGTCAGGTCCTCGGCCCTAGACGGAGAGATAATTACCATCATGACAGATAAAAGAAATGTTTGTAAATAGATACGTACTTAACATTTTAATTTATAAAAAATAGTTTTTTAATAGGTTCAAAATAATATTGATACAAATATAACTCGTTTACTTACCTACATTTAGTAAGGAAATGACTGTCATAGCGTAACGTTCTTGTAGACTGCGCATGATTTATTTTTAGTCGCGGTATTTCACAACCACCAGGAGCTATTTCATCAGCCCCACGCGGGTGTCAATGAAAGAAAAAGGCATTAAGTACAGTCGCCGCTCAGTCTAGATTCACAATACCTAGCGGCACTATGTTGAACAAAAACCCTTTATCCTTCGTTACTAAATATAACTTTTTATTAATCACAAAAGAATCTATTATCCTTTCAAACGCAGCGACCGTCAAGTACAGTCGCCACTTAGTCTAGATTTACAATACCTAGCGGAACTATGTTGAACAAAAACCCTTTATCCTTCGTTACTAAATATAGCTTTTCATTAATCACAAAAGATTAATAGAATTGACGGACCTTTTCTGTTACGGTTGATAAACCGGAGGGGATGAATTAATTGAAATATGGACCAATGAAGATGGTTTATTTTTACAACGCATCAATGATAGACCTGACAGAATGCTTCAAAATAAACCCTAGGTTCTCGATTCGATTTTTAGCCGTTCTCGAGTTATGGCCAATTAGCGATTTTTTAAACCAATTTTTCAAAGTTCATAAAACCCTTAGATTTATATGTTGTTTGAAAGATCTCTGCGAGTAGATACAGAAAATGTATTATTATATGGATCTATCTCTTACTATTTCTGAGATAGGAGAGTTTGGATATGGCAGACAAAATCACTCATGCGGAAAAACGCGCATAACTTTTTCGTTTATGAACGAAACATAGTCGTGTTTGGTATCAAATTGAAGGTCTTGACGAGTACATTCAGACGCTGTTGATAATAAAGTTCATTCTGGAAGTCAAAATCACTCATGCGTAAAAACCAATTTTTAAAAGTCCATAAAACCGTTAGATTTATATGCCGTTTGAAAGATCTCTGCGAGTAGATACAGAAAATGTATTATTATATGGATCTATCTCTTACCGTTTTTGAGATAGGAGAGTTTGAATATGGTAAACAAAATCACTCATGCATATAAATACGTATAACTTTTTTGTTACTGGACATAACATAGGCATGTTGCATATCAAACGAAAGGTCTTGACAAATGCTACGAGCTCGTACTGTCAAACCGAGAGTGAAATCACTCATGCGTAAAAAACATTAAAATAACTAAAATAAGCTTACCCCAGTCTTTACTCCTCGCCTATCAAACTATTTATGACAAGTTACGACAGGTTTAAACCGGTATTGCTATTTTTGATCAGCCAATGAAATTGAAAAACGATGACGTCTAAAAATAGACAGCCTCGTTTTGAACCCACTCTTTTTCATTAACCAATGAAAAGTGGAGAAGGATGACTGGATAAATTTTGACATAAAATAAACGCCTTTTTGTCTTTTATGCAACACTTTACGATATCGATTTTCAAGATATTTGTTTCATTTGATAGACCTAACCAAATGCTTCAAAATAAACCCTAGGTTCTCGATTCGATTTTAAGCCGTTCTCGAGTTATGGCCCTTTAGCGATTTTTAAACCAATTTTTTAAAGTCCATAAAACCGTGAAATGTATATACCGTTTGAAAGATCTCTACGAGTAGATACAGAAAATGTATTATTATATGGATCTATTTCTTACCGTTTCTGAAATAGGAGAGTTTGAATATGGCAGACAAAATCACTCATGCGGAAAAACGCGCATAACTTTTTCGTTTATGAACGAAACATAGTCTTGTTTGGTATCAAATTGAAGGTCTTGACGAGTACATTTTACTTACGTGATCAAACCGGATGTTAAGTCACTCGTGCGTGAAATTCATTTATTCTCCCCAACCAACGGACCGATCTTATCAATACCTGTATCGAACGAAAGGTATTACTCACTAAATTCAGAAAATGTATATTTTTGTATCGCTGACTCGGATAGGACACGAGATATGAAGTAAAATCACTCAAGCGTAAAATGTTTATTTACGCCTTTATTAGTCAATATAACCCGGTCATGTTTGGTATCGTACGAAATGTTTTAAGGCGCTCTTTATGAATACGGACTAAAAATCACTAATGCATAAACGCTCTATTTATATTAAACATTCTTCATTGAAAATACTGTACTCGAAATATAAACTCAACTTACTGCGTAATGATGTTTACTCTTTGACGTCCAATCACCAAATGACTGAGGTCACCAGTGCGATACATCATACGCATGCGCTGATCTAAATTTAGAAATGACATTGTCCAATCTAACAGCAGTTGGTCTTTTCTTACGGACTGAATGTAACCAATCAGACAGAAGATTTATTTGACCAATGATTTTGGTCACGTGACTATTTATAACATAAATAGATGAATAACGACATGCCAAAAATAGCAGCCAATCAGATTTTAATACGTGTGTATAAAAAAAGAATGTTTTTCTGCGTATATTTTATTACTGGAAACAGGATTTGTCTTCTATTTATCTCCTGCTCCTTCACCACCACAACCACCATCGCCGCCGCCGCCGCCGCCGCCGCCGCCGCCACCGCCACTGCCATCACCGCCGCCATATACGCCACCACCAGGTGGCGATGGAAGGAACCATCACCACAACCAGGTGGCGATGGTGGCGGTGGTGATGGCGGTATCGGTGGTGGCTGCGGCGGTGGCGGCGGCGGCGGCGGCGGCGGCGGCGATGGTGGTTGTGGTGGTGAAGGAGCAGGAGATAAATAGAAGACAAATCCTGTTTCCAGTAATAAAATATACGCAGAAAAACATTCTTTTTTTATACACACGTATTTAAATCTGATTGGCTGCTATTTTTGGCATGACGTTATTCATCTATTTATGTTATAAATAGTCACGTGACCAAAATCATTGGTCAAATAAATCTTCTGTCTGATTGGTTACATTCAGTCCGTAAGAAAAGACCAACTGCTGTTAGATTGGACAATGTCATTTCTAAATTTAGATCAGCGCATGCGTATGATGTATCGCACTGGTGACCTCAGTCATTTGGTGATTGGACGTCAAAGAGTAAACATCATTACGCAGTAAGTTGAGTTTATATTTCGAGTACAGTATTTTCAATGAAGAATGTTTAATAGAAATAGAGCGTTTATGCACTAGTGATTTTTAGTCCGTATTCATAAAGAGCGCCTTAAAACATTTCGTACGATACCAAACATGACCGGGTTATATTGACTAATAAAGGCGTAAATAAACATTTTACGCTTGAGTGATTTTACTTCATATCTCGTGTCCTATCCGAGTCAGCGATACAAAAATATACATTTTCTGAATTTAGTGAGTAATACCTTTCGTTCGATACAGGTATTGATAAGATCGGTCCGTTGGTTGGGGAGAATAAATGAATTTCACGCACGAGTGACTTAACATCCGGTTTGATCACGTAAGTAAAATGTACTCGTCAAGACCTTCAATTTGATACCAAACAAGACTATGTTTCGTTCATAAACGAAAAAGTTATGCGCGTTTTTCCGCATGAGTGATTTTGTCTGCCATATTCAAACTCTCCTATCTCAGAAACGGTAAGAGATAGATCCATATAATAATACATTTTCTGTATCTACTCGTAGAGATCTTTCAAACGGTATATACATTTCACGGTTTTATGGACTTTAAAAAATTGGTTTAAAAATCGCTAAAGGGCCATAACTCGAGAACGGCTTAAAATCGAATCGAGAACCTAGGGTTTATTTTGAAGCATTTGGTAAGGTCTATCAAATGAAACAAATATCTTGAAAATCGATATCGTAAAGTGTTGCATAAAAGACAAAAAAGGCGTTTTTTATGTCAAAATTTATCCAGTTATCCTTCTCCACTTTTCATTGGTTAATGAAAAAGAGTGGGTTCAAAACGAGGCTGTCTATTGTTAGACGTCATCGTTTTTCAATTTCATTGGCTGATCAAAAATAGCAATACCGGTTTAAACCTGTCGTAAATTGTCATAAATAGTTTGATAGGCGAGGAGTAAAGACTGGGGTAAGCTTATTTTAGTTATTTTAATGTTTTTTACGCATGAGTGATTTCACTCTCGGTTTAACAGTACGAGCTCGTAGCATTTGTCAAGACCTTTCGTTTGATATGCAACATGCCTATGTTATGTCCAGTAACAAAAAAGTTATACGTATTTATATGCATGAGTGATTTTGTTTACCATATTCAAACTCTCCTATCTCAAAAACGGTAAGAGATAGATCCATATAATAATACATTTTCTGTATCTACTCGCAGAGATCTTTCAAACGGCATATAAATCTAACGGTTTTATGGACTTTTAAAAATTGGTTTTTACGCATGAGTGATTTTGACTTCCAGTATGAACTTTATTATCGCCAGCGTCAGAATGTACTCGTCAAGACCTTCAATTTGATACCAAACATGACTATGTTTCGTTCATAAACGAAAAAGTTATGCGCGTTTTTCCGCATGAGTGATTTTGTCTGCCATATCCAAACTCTCCTATCTCAGAAATAGTAAGAGATAGATCCATATAATAATACATTTTCTGTATCTACTCGCAGAGATCTTTCAAACAACATATAAATCTAAGGGTTTTATGAACTTTGAAAAATTGGTTTAAAAATCGCTAATTGGCCATAACTCGAGAACGGCTAAAAATCGAATCGAGAACCTAGGGTTTATTTTGAAGCATTCTGTCAGGTCTATCATTGATGCGTTGTAAAAATAAACCATCTTCATTGGTCCATATTTCAATTAATTCATCCCCTCCGGTTTATCAACCGTAACAGAAAAGGTCCGTCAATTCTATTAATCTTTTGTGATTAATGAAAAGCTATATTTAGTAACGAAGGATAAAGGGTTTTTGTTCAACATAGTTCCGCTAGGTATTGTAAATCTAGACTAAGTGGCGACTGTACTTGACGGTCGCTGCGTTTGAAAGGATAATAGATTCTTTTGTGATTAATAAAAAGTTATATTTAGTAACGAAGGACAAAGGGTTTTTGTTCAACATAGTGCCGCTAGGTATTGTGAATCTAGACTGAGCGGCGACTGTACTTAATGCCTTTTTCTTTCATTGACACCCGCTTGGGGCTGATGAAATAGCTCCTGGTGGTTGTGAAATACCGCGACTAAAAATAGATCATGCGCAGTCTACAAGAACGTTACGCTATGACAGTCATTTCCTTACTAAATGTAGGTAAGTAAACGAGTTATATTTGTATCAATATTATTTTGAACCTATTAAAAAACTATTTTTTATAAATTAAAATGTTAAGTACGTATCTATTTACAAACATTTCTTTTATCTGTCATGATGGTAATTATCTCTCCGTCTAGGGCCGAGGACCTGACCCTCAATGTCCGCGATTCAAGCCCTAAATCGTGTATACGAGTCAGCTCCGTATACTTCCGGGAGATTAAAAATAGAACGATAATGTCATTCTAAAAATAGAACGATGTCATTCTTAAAATAGAACGATAATGTCATTCTAAAAATAGAATCCAATATGGCGTCGCGCATGCGCAGTCGTGCCCCCAAAGAGACCCCTATACTACTTGCAGCATATATCAATTTTGCCGCTGTTTTTTTCCCTCGTTCTTTAGGGATTTTTTATGTGTTTTCTCCCTCTATTTTGTGCTAATGTTATGATTAACATACGTACCGTTTAAAATGTTGACCACAAAACAGCAAAAAAAATGTTAAAATAAAATTAAATGTAATGAAATCAAAGTTCTTAATTATGACTTTGAAACTGAGTTTTATTATTTATCGTTCTTGAAAGGTCCAGTTCTTCTCAAAATGTCCTGATGATGGAATGTATGCATCTCGTCTACGTTCTAAGGGTAATTTATTTATATCTTTCACATTAAGCTATTTTTTAAGTTTTCATCATAAATTTACATTAAATATCCTAAATGTTATTTGAATTCAGTAAATTCAAGGAACTAAACACAATGTAATATACATTCCTGGTTTTCATCTGGTATGAACAGATAATGATATTAGTGGAACAAAATGGACAAAAACAATCCCTATTTCGACTAAGTATTTTTATTATAAAAGTACCTCCCAAAGTCAGATTTACATTAATAATCGGTTTTAACAACATTTAAGTTTAAGTTTAATTAGTATACTGGATGTAATGATCGAAACTTCAGATCTCACTGTTCTTGGAATCGCCGGACGGTTGTTAAAGGATGAGCAATCCTCGTCTACAAGTACTGGGTCAAGACAGAGGCACGTCACGGAGAGAGGCGTTCTATTTACAGTACCAGAACATTTAAACATGATGGACCCTCACAAAAGAATGGCGTCTTTCGCTAATATGAACATCTTGTATAAAACTTTGCTATCCCTGGACGATGTTGTACAGGCAGGATTCTTCTTTACAGGTAAATAGACGTTTTATTAGACGAAGTATTTAACTAACTTGAAATGCAACTTGTTTAGTAGCATATCAACGACTCACATGCATGCATGTTGTACTCCATAAGGCATCACACCTTCAATTTCTTGAAAGAGATATAACAAAAGCCAATGAGTACCATGTTATCAAATGTATTAATAAATGAAATGTCTAGACATACCCAAAGACACTTTCTGTATCACAAACAGTGTGTAAAAATACATAACTAGTAAAAAGGATTTTTCCATGATTGACGGGATAGAAATAATTATATTGATAACATGAAAATCTGTCATATTTTAAATTCAACTTGGATTTGGAATATGTCTTCATTTCATTTGCTATATTTTTCATGTTCCGTTAAATTTTATTTGATTTTCCATTAAAATTTTGTTGCTTATCTGGAGGTGTGATGTTCAAATATTATTTCTGCTCTTTTAAATACTAGTATATATATGCTCATTTTAACATGTTACTCCATACACATTATCTTACTAACTATCAATTTCATCTATTACATAGTTATCCACTTACTCTGCTTTATTTTGCGCGGGGTTGGGGGAAGGAAGGGGGTCGGGCACAATCCATCAAATTTAGCTTTTACCTTTACGTTTAGCGCTTGGGTCTATCGCAAGAATCTATAATTGCAGAAAATTTTTGTTATAATTGAACAACTGCTTTTACAGCAAGAGCTAAGTTTATCTATTAATGTGAATAAATTTTCTATCATTTTCTATGTCAATGTTTCGATTTATAAGGCGCTGGTGATAGTGTGCGATGTTATTATTGCGGAGCGGGCTTTAAGAACTGGAAGAGAAGTGATGACCCGTGGGTAGTGCATGCCCGGCATGCCCCTCATTGCATGCATGTTATACTTACAAAAGGGGAGGAGTTTGTAGAAAAGGTATCAAAAAAGCATGATTTGAAAACAAGAATGCTTGTAAATAATTTGTTAAAGATTGGCGCATTAACTCACATAAGCGATACATTTTGGAATTAAGATGTGATCGACTTTTGGCATGTATATAATATTATGATAAAACCATATTAATTCACGTCAATTTACGTTAGTGATTATACTTATGAATTATATACACAAACATGTACTAAGTTTTGGTTGGAAATCGTTTTTTCTATTAGTATATTTTTATTATAATTATTATTTGTCTTGATTTTGAGTTTTATCAATTTTTTAAGCGACGAGGCAACTGTTATGCATTCTTTGTCAAATGTAGATCCCAGCCAATTTGCTATCGAACCAGCATAATTTATGTAATTATAGAACCATGCTTTTGTATTTTTTTTATTATCGCCAGAAACTTGCTGATAGAAATGGAAATAGGGAAGTGAATCCAACGTTTTTGCCTGCTGAAAATGCGGGTAAATATGTTTTGTAATAGAACACATTAAATGCTATGGTGAAACATAACTTTAAAAAAATGTCAGAAACGTAAAACATATTTCAATCTTAAATTTCAAGTCTGAAATGATTGTTTCATGAGAGATTTTAACATGAATATATTAGGCTAAGATTACATACCGTGAATCATTATTTAAAATAATAATTGGACACTAAATATTCTATGCTTTTTGACCAAACACAACAAAAGAACATTGTTGATTTGTAAAGTATTTTTGCATTTCTTGTAGGCAATAGGAAGAGACCACGTGAGCCAGAACAAGAACGAGAAGGTAATTTTACTTTGACATCATGTGATATGAATTCTCTATTGCCTTCTAATTTTTAACTTTTTTATGTTTCTTTTTTATGATGTCCATTATCTTGGTATTTTTCTTGGTAATTGTCATATAGATCTTAGACTTCTCCCCTTTTTTTTGTGTTTCGTGAATTTCAGAACTATCTTCATCTTCTTTTTATTCTTCTCCCTCCTAAATATCTACAATATTTTCATCTATTCTCCTCTCATAAATACAACTTTAGCATCTACAGACAATTTATTAACTGTTTCATAGTATGGTAAAGTTAAAACAATGGCCGTATTGATAACTGATAATTGAACATAAAATTTATCGTAAATATTCCAAGTCGAGACAAATCAAATATTCCTATAATTGCATTTTGATTTTGAACAAACCGTTGTCACTTAACACAAACATCGTAAAACTATCGTATTTCTTTAAAAATGTCTATATGCTGTAACATGCATAGCACTAAATAAACTTTCTATTCTGTTCTGTGAAAATAGCTAGATTTTTTTACCAAAGAAATCATTCAAAATATAAAAGACATTATTGTTTAATTGTTGCACTTGCAGAGATGACCAAGGTATTAAGAGTGGGTGGCATCAATGATAGAGAAGGCACTGATAGAAGTCGGTCAGAAAACACGATCGCATTCCCTTCCCCAGGTAATTTAATTAAGTTAATAAATTGCTAATCATTCAAGTCACAATTATACAGAAATTATTATGAATTTGAATTCTGACATAAATCTTTAAATCGGTTTTGACAAAGACATGTGATTTATTAGATAATGTTAAGTGTAACTAGATAAGTACGCTATTAATTAGAGCTACATATATCGCCGTGTATTTGCGAAATATGTGCGGAATAAACATACTACAATATCATTCTTCAAGAAATCTTGATTATACTTAACCATTTGGTTTATTGGTTTTATATTCAGTAAGCCGCCAGCAGGGTCAATCTTACCAAGCCAGGGGTCGGGGGCAATCGGTCGGCCAGGTTTGTCACAATTCTTTGAATATTATATTAAATTTGTTAGTAGTTATTTCTGGTCAATGGTAGCATACCTCAAGCGTTTGATTGTGAAGTATGTGTGTTTCGTCATTTTTGTGAACATAATTGTGATATAATCAAAGTGCTGCAGCACTGAATGCGACGGACATGCAACCGGAGAGACATTAAGGCTTCTTTTAGAAAAAAAAAACAAAAACAAAACACAAAATATATAACAGAGAAAATTTGTTCCATACAAGTTCGAGATTTGTAGAGCAATATATTTTGTGTCCCAAATTGATATAATTCAGATTTTCTACTTTCAAGCACTTAAATACAGAATGAAATTTATGCCTAAAAACTCTGGTCAAACTTGTAAATCAGTGTCCTTATCGATTTATTCTAAGAAATGATATGTAAATAGAAAAAAAAACTATCAACGAAATATTTCTAGAATAAATCCAGGCAAATAAACTTCAAACATAATACATTATACATTTGAGAATGCTATTTAGAATTGCTTCGTGTTATATCATAGTGGGCATACAGACAATAAAATATAAGTCATTTGTATTTTTATTTCTCTTGGATATGTCTCATTAAAAAAAAATGGTTAAAATCATCAGCAATTAATAGTGTATTTCTTAGATTTTTTTATTTACAAGGTAAAGATGTAGAGGCCAGAGCACATCGTTTTTATTTTAATTTAAATGTCACTTAAGCACTACAGTGTTTAGTTGTCCTTTTCAACTTCACACTAAATTCCATTTTCAACTTGTTTGCTTCTTACAATTGTATAGAATTTCTTAAAGTATTGCATGTAATCCGCTGGTTTATTAATTACATGTTTAATGTGTACTTCCTAATCGCCTGTCCAAAAATCAGAACCGGTGAAGCAGAATCTATTTTTAGAATAGCGAAGGTTAACTCATATCATGACCTAGTAAAATATGTAAACAAACCACAAGAATCGGAAGTAGAATATTATAACTTCCTTACCATGAAAGACTACATGGCGGTAAAGTGTCTTACATGCATTTTCAAAAAATAGATATTTATACTAGCCATTGTACTGTATCTAATATATTAATCACTGCTGAATATTCAGCTAAACCCGCGGTATGAGTCACGAAAATAGTTCTTCTTTTATTAATGCGCGAGTTATCCTTGAGTCAGGAAAACTTTTGATTTGTTAATAATAATGTTTTGTATAATGTAGAAATATTTATTTCCTACTAATAATGTCTTGGAACTCAGAGGTTACACCTTTATTGTAGTATAATTTGCTGTCCTACTTTTTCGACAGCGGTAAATCGTTTCAGCAGTAATTTGCATATTGCGCAATAATACTACGGGACTACAACGTTTTTATCAATAATATACGTTCATATTTTAACTTGGATAACTTAATTTGAAATTGAAAAGGCTAAATATGGAAGACATTAAGATATCCAGACAAAGTATGGGAGTTTTGAAGGATCAAATTCATGAACTATTTCTTGGGCTGTTAATTGGTTTAGGACACATTGCGCGAGTGTAGCCAACGAAATCCCATGGGTAGATGACTTAGCTCTGAACGCGCCTGAGGGCGCGTCCGTCGCAAAAATCGGCTAAGTAAAAATTAAAATGATATGCAATAAAGATATGAACTTGGCAATCGAGAAGATATCAGATATGATAAATTCATAAAAGTGGTTTTCTCTTTACAAACTTCCTATAAATGTTTTTTCTCTCTTTTTTCTTATTGAAATTTAAGATTAATTTAAAACTTTTTACTTACATGCACACACACACACACACACACACTATATATATATATATATATAATATATATATATATATATATATATATATATATATATATATATATATATATATATATATATATATATATATATATATATATATATATAATCAATTATTTTAACTCGTTTGAAAGTATTTCAGTTATGTTTTTTTCAGGTAGAATGTGATAGATGCCAAATGCTCGGACATATTTCCGCAGGCTTTGTGTCAGTAAATGATCGCACATACAGATGTGAGTCATGCTGCAAACGTTTCCAGGACTGAAACGAGTTTACAAGTAGAGGAGAGAAAAAAAATTGTACATATGTATATAATTAAGATATATAGGCTATATTGGATACTAAAATGCATATGTTTAAATTGACATAATCATCAATGATTATTTAATGATATTCAATTCCGCTTAAGCAAACAATGCGCTAGGGGGCGTGGATAAGTAATGATATTTTGTATCATCTTTTCCATGAATGGTCTCAACAAAACCGAGTCCAGAATATCACGAACAGAAATATTTTTTTCATTACTTGTGTATATTCCTGCAATCTTTTTTTTTGTTTCCTCAAATTCATTTCACGAACAAAGACCGCAAACGGTGTACATTTTTTTAATGCTAATGATACCATTTACTAGTACATTAGTACTTTATATATACTTATGAATTACTCAATAAATTACATACATGTGTTTTCTTTTTCTTTTTTTTCCCACACATTTTCATTTACTGCAATCGCATCTTCTCGGCCCTTTCCGTTAAACATGAATAATGGCAGAGATGTTCCGGTTGTCTAGCCGGACATTATCAGATCTAATCGCAAAGCCAAAAAAAAAAAAAAAAAAAAGAGAGAAAAAGTAACGTTATCATTTTATAAACAGAAAATTAGTAAATAGTTATTTCCTTGTACCACTCACTGAAAAATCCCGTATTAATAGCACAAATAAAAAAAACCTTAAATATTCTATTTTTATGATTATGATTACAATTTATTTTGTTTGATGGGAATTTATAATATTTTGTATAGCTATATATTTTCGTTTAAATAGCAAAGACTTAGTTCGTATACGTGTTTTTTTTGTTTGTTTTTTTTCATGAATAATGAATGTTGATCTATGTATTGTTTTAAAGTGGAGTTATTTTATTGGTGTACATTATAAATTGGCTAATATTGTTAAATTTTTGGTCATTTCAAGCACGGATGTAATATAATTTATCGTTGTTTCGCTGTTTATGCAAGTAAGTTACCTATGTAGGCGGCGCTTTTACATGAAATGTATTACGTATGCGCTAAATATATATGAAATGAAGGTTAAATGGTTAAATACATGAAACTAATAAGTTAATTAAGTGGTGATGAGTAATACAAGTAGCACAACATCATAATGGAAAAACCCATCTATTTTTAGATATATGTAAAGTGGCATAAGCCATTTATATAAATACTTAAATGTTTGATGAAATAAGCATTACAGATGAAATAAGCATTACAAATGAACTTGGTATAAAACTGTAATTCAAGATATTTTTTCAAGTCCTGCTTCGACGAGAAAAGGTAGAGGTAAGGTGAAATTTACTTAATAGGTCAATGAAAATCAGCCTGGGCCCGTATTCAATATACATCTTAAGATTTTCTTATTTATAAGGTCATATTTAAGGATAAGATCATCTTAAGTTTATTGAATACGGCCCCTAGAGTATTTTAATTATACCTACCCACGGTTGTATGTACAAACTACCGCTCCCACCCACGGGTGCTTCGACCTTATTCTTTTTAATTGTGTGTTAAATTGATTGTAATAAAATATCTAGTTTCGAAACTTACACGGTTTAGATTTGACCTAAATATGTTTTGGTTGCTAATGTCGATACATGTATATTAAAATTAGAAAATACTAATTGAACGTTTTTGTTACTGACAAATCAATGTCATGAGCACTATGTACATATACTACGCGATCTGGGAAAATAATACCTTGCTTCTACGAGATTCTGACCCAGAACGAAAATATCTCAGAATCTAGGCTTTGGCACGTCAATATATTTTGACTAGATCAGCACCTACAGTACATAGAGGATATTCAAGTTTTTTCTATAAATACATGATTTATTTTCATTGAGTGGTATGAAAATAAATATTTCATGAGTGGCGGTAGCCACGAGTGAAATATGGTAATTTTCATGCCACAAGATGAAAATAAATCATGTATTTATAGAAAAAACTTGAATTTTCTGTTTATTATATACATTTTTCTCTTTTTTGATATTAAAATTTGAAAGATTTTCCTGTACTGGCAGAATTTAAAAGAAAGTAGTCCGGCAAGACACCAGTGAAAATACGGAAAATATGTTTCACTGCAGTGAAAAATAAATTTTTACAGTGAAAATACGGAAAATGAAAATACGCATTTTATTTCATCAATATTTCTCAATATTTCATTTATAAGTATATAATAAATATAAATATTATTGAGATTTACTTTGAAAATTCTAATCGAGTCTGCAATTTTCATGTAATTTTGTTGTCTAATTAATGCTTCCGAGGGATCACTTTTTTCCCATATTTTTGTTATATTATTTACAATTTATAATTATATAAATTTTTATTATGAGGTAAATGTTTATTTAAAGAAAACCGAGATTCAATAAACTGTATTTACTTCAGGATTTCCCAATTCTGATAATAGCTGGGATTTTCCGCGTACTATTAATACACTGTTACTAAATATAGGTTCGGATGGGTTTTTCAGCTGCTATTTTTAGTAATCCTAGCGTTGCGTTGTCACTGGTTTTGTAAGATATTTTGCGTTGCAAATGTTATCGAATTACATACTCATTCGCCTTCACCATTATTTCTAGACATTTCAATCCGACATGTCGGAAAGCAGCAGCGATGTCGTCGTTTCTCAGCAGAAATCTGCAAGACCGCCACCAATAGCTCTTGGAATAAACGTGGAAAAGCCGAAATTTCCGCAATATGCAGTCTACTCGAAGAGAATGGAATCTTTCGAGTCTTGGCCAGAATACATCCCAGTAAAGAAAGATGATCTTGTCGAAGCAGGGCTTGTGTACACAGGTGAGTTGAAAAAATGATTAATTTTAATTTGATATGGAAATTCCATATTTTTTGGAAACAAAAATTGGGGGATTTTGCTGACCAGGTCAAAGAAGTCTGTAATTGACTGAATGAATAAACTTAATAAATGAAATGGTAATTGAGCAAAATTTTAATATATATCACTGATATATATTTTTTAGTGCTAATGTTGTCAGTACTTTAAAGATATTAGTCATGCATTTAAAGAATATTACAGTAGGCCTACACTACAGAATAGACACAGTACAGTACTGTAGTGATGTAAGAAGGTCACTACTACAGTACATGTATTCACATAATTATTATTAAGTGATTAGGTAATTATAAGTGTGAATTTACTTAGAAGAAATACATAATGATAGATCTAGTTTGAAACTTTAAAAGAGAATTATTTTTGGCATTTATAATGTATACATCTTTATGATACGTGATAATTTTCAATTATATACCGGTGTACAATACATAGAAGATAAATGTTCTCTTGACTTGGGGTTCAGATTAAAAAAGAAATACATGTAGACTGTACTGTACTACAGTACTGTTCTGTGTGGTGTATAAAATAAAATGGAAATAGGATAGGTATATCTGAGTTGTAATAGGACATTCTTTTGAGTTATGATTACAGTACTGAGTGATCTGAAACAAATTGATCATAAGGGGAATCTGGAAGTCTACTCTCTCGTGATATAAATAGAAACATGTCATGACGGAAACATAAGGCTACTAATTATAGATTTGGGAAGAATTAGTTAAAAAAAAACTCAGTATATAAATAGAAATATAATAGAATTGAGTTATTGACAAGTTTAAACAAGTTTTAATAAATCAAAAGAATTGATTATTACAATTAATATACATGTACACCAGGACAAAAAAATGTCCCAGATATACATGTAGATGAGTGTAGAAAGGGAATCTTATGGTGTTTCAATTACATTTCATTTGTTGGAAAAACATTACCAATTATTGTCAGAATGTTTTATCAATTTTTAACTTAAAAAATTTTTGTCAACAGGAGTTGGTGATAGTGTAAGATGTTACTTCTGTGGTGGTGGGCTGAGGAATTGGGAACAGGATGATGTACCAATGGAGGAACATGGAAAATGGTATCCAAAATGTCCACATGTCATGTTAGTTAAAGGTCAGGCATATATTGAGAGACTTCAGCGTGGAGAAAAACCAGAGGAACCATTGCCAGCACAGGTATATAAAACTTATTTACAACTTGGAACATTGCCAGTGAATGACATTGAAAAATTGTCTTTGAAATTGTATCATTTTGGAGAAATTTGATCATTATGATATGGAAGCAAGCTTTGAGCAATGATATGGAAGCAAGCTTTGAGCAACAATTGTTACAGATTTAGTTAAAAATGTTATGATCATTGGACAAAATGTAAAAATAAAAATCCTTAAATTCCGATGTACCATTTTTCTTGAATAAAAACTTGAAAATAGCCATTTAATAGATAGTGCACTTAATGAATGAATTCAAATGAGGTTAGTCATAAACTGAGGCTACTGGAATGTGAATTAAATAATTATTTCAAATCTACATGCGCTTTATTTTTATTCAGACGGATTCTGCTTGTGCAGCCCCAAACCATCTTGACTCTGTTGCTGCTTTAAGTTGTATTGAAAATGGTTACTCTGAAGAAATGGTTCAGAAAGCCATTAATACTTATATTGATCGGCACGGTAAGTGCTTTCTTTATTTACTTGGTAATTAAGACTTATAAGAATGTAACAAAATTTAAGTGAAGTTTAATATACCTTATCGAAAAAAAATCTAATTACCTCCCATTATTTATATGAAATGTTAAATTCTGTAATATCTTTACAAATAATTGATTTTGAAACTTACAATATTGATAAATTTCCATTTCATCATCAGATTTATGATATAAAACCATGAATAAATTTGCGTTACAGGATCAAGAAAAAACTGTGACTAGAAATTCAATACGATTATATGATATGATAATAATAGTTGAAAACTGTTTATTTCTTTCATTTTTCTTGCCCATTAATACTATTGTTACATTTTTTATTTTACAGGTAATTCAGACTTTAAAGCTGTACATTTGTGTGAAATTTTGATGGATCTTGAGGACGAAGTTGATCAACTCTCATTAACTGTGTCAGACTCGCACAATGTTGTAGATTCTAGAAATCATGTACCTACAGTAGAGGAACAACTGGAGTCAGAAGAATTACAATCAGCAGGTAAAAACAGTTTGAAAAAAAAATGTGATCCCTAGGAAGCATAAATCACAACAAAATTACATGAAAATTGCAAAACATAGTTTGATTGAATCTGCACATGAGGGATAATAAAAAATTGCAACATCCCTAATGCCCCCTAGCAACTGGCTTGAGCAGTACTCAATTTTCAACACTGAAAAGTGCTGGGTTCAATGATCCCAAAGGACCAGAAAATATATAACAACACAACAATTGATATTGTGCCTTGCTTCCCTTTAGCTGCTTGTATGTTACCTAGCAACAGGTATACATGTACTGTTTTTCATAAAAAAAATAATTATTGATTTTGTTTGTTAAAACTGTACAGTTATACTTATTGTTATCAAATATGAAACTATTTTCACAAATTGAAAATGCATATCATAAATACTAAATGAATAACTATATTTATTCTCAAGTTCAACATGGTTATTTAAATGAATTTCTTTTCTTGTATTTTCAGAGGATTTTGAAACATTGAAAGAAGAAAATCAGAAGTTGAAAGAAAACCAGATGTGTAAGATATGTTTAGACAAGAAGGCAGATGTAATATTTCTGCCATGCGGACATATGGTGAGCTGTCCCCAATGTGCACCAGCACTTTCCAAATGCCCAATTTGCAGAAAAGTTATTAATGGACATATTAAAGCTTTTTTCGCTGTGACTAGCAATAGCGTATCGTCTTCAAGTGAGTGCAAATGACAGTAATTTGACTTATGTCAGTCACAACCCTTTATGTAGTGGAAATACAAAAAAAGAAAAAATATTTAAAATGACAATTAGACTCAAATTGTAATGTTAAGGCTTATAAAGATATCATAAGCAAGTAGTAGAAATCCAAGTTCAAACTTGAAGAAAATTTCTACATCAATGTCTTCTTGACATGAATATTGTAAGCTTGCACTATTCATGCTAAGGAGGAGAAGTACATTGCAGTATATGAAAATTACTACATATATGCAATCTAATAACATTTGCAAAGTACAAGGCAAAGTAAGCATGATTATATGATTACAAAAAAGTGTCAATGACTTTGTATTTTCGTAGATTTGGTCTTGGAAATGTGCCAAATATTAAGGTCAGATGTTAAAGCTGCACGCCTCCAGATGAGCCAAAATATTTTAAGAAATTCAATCTTTAGACAAATGTATTAATATCTTAAGAAAAGTTAAAAGATTCAATATCTGATTAATTATTTACATGTTATGTGTGATTAATGACTGATTTTGCAGTATCAATCACTATAATTTTACTGCGTTACTAACGCAGTAAGAGGTATTTTTGTATATTTTGGCCTCTTTTTGGTAATTTACGTGGATTGTAAGTGCCGTTTGCAATGTGTAAATTACTTTATTTGTTCACTTCACAATATTTTACTTTGAAATACATTTTCAAAATTTCATGAAAATTAGCATGAATCTGGAGGCATGCTGCTTTAATGCTAATAATAAAAAAACCGATCTAGTCAAACATTTTCTCAATATTGTTTCGTGAAAATGGACTTGTTTGATCTCGAGTGACGTGTTCAAGGTCTGAAAGCTTCTGTGATACTTAATTGTGCATTTAATAATTATGTTTTCCTTTAAATGATTTCATTCATTTAAGGGAAAAAACGTTAAAAAAAACTTAAAAAAAACAAAACAAAAAAAACCCTAAAAAAAACTTAAAAATGACTATAAAATTAATATCTAAAAAAAAAAAGAGAGATATTAAGTAATGTCTTGATATGTAGATTCTTATGCTGTTATTTAATGCTAAATATCATTTTATAAATACATTGTTGGAATATTAATTTTAAAATATGTAACTTGAATGAATACGTAAGGATATTAATACTCTAATAAATTTGATCTAATTTGTTACTTTGAATAATTCAATTAACAATTCTATTTATAATTAATAATAATAATAAGTAAAAAATTTACCATATAATTTATCTCTTTGATAAAAATCTTTTCAGATTTCATTAATGACATTAAATTTGATTTACTATAAGCTTAGCTTTGATAACCGCAAAATATCATAGGATACTTATCGAACATTTTCTATAATTCTTTTCTGCAAAAATATGATACAGTTTTGTTTATTATTTGGCACAGTTTTTCCTCTACTGTAAACATTTTCGATCAGATAGATTATGAATGTATCATATTTTTACTATTTGTTTAAAACATTTTCATGTGTATGATTAACTATGTTATTATTTTTTGTTATATATTTTAATAAACTGAGTTGAATAAAGCTTGTTAGTAGTAGTAGTTGTTGAATTTGGGGTTATTTGGAACCGAAGCAGGCATAGATAAGGGGGGCCGGGGGGGGGGGGGTGGGAAGGTATGGGAAGGGTTTTAAATAGTTAAAATATTTGTTCTGAAATGTTTATAAAAATATAGTTTTAATACATGGATACCATTTGTTTTGTTCAGCAGCTTGTCAAGAATTAAGTAAGAATTTATTCTTTAATAAATCTGTGATGATTATTCTGAATACTTACCCCTGATGAAAGCAGTTTTACCACTTACCCTGCTTGAACTGAAAGCAAATAACATTTGCCACCAGTATAGGACCAGACTATAGTCTACACATCTGTGCAGTCTGACCAGGCTCTATACTTGTACTAGTTGATCAACTTGCATTTTTCTATCTTGGATATTTCCAAAATTGCTAATGGACAGGTCAAAATTGGACAAGTCCATTCAAAAAATTAAGCAAATTTAGAGAAAGATGTATCCAATGAAAAAATTCCTTGTAGTAAGCATGAAATGGCTACTTACAAGCCTGGGTGCCTTACAATCGAGGATATACGGTATTTTTTATATCATACATAGAAGTGTTTCCATTAAAGAATTTCTTCCCTTTTTTGCTTGTGCAGTGAAAACCATGACAAATTTCCCCTTTTGTGATGCAAGTGGGGAGGGTTTATATGATTGTTATTTGTCTATTCATGAAATATAAGTCCTATACATCAAAGTAGTGAGCATCAAGTTCCTAATACCTTATGTCCCTCTTATTTAATGAAACCTGTATAAAATGGCCACCTTTACAGCCTTTGTGATTGATGGGGGTGGGTGAAACTTCTTGCAGATTGCATGGAATACATGTACAATCAGCATTTTACATAATTATTTCCCTTTATGCACATCAATATTGAGGGTGGTTAAAATCTTGTACTAGAAATGTTTTTTTTTTCCGTACCAGTATACATAAACATGTCTAGATATCTTTGAATAAGGTGACTTCCACTTTCATACTTTTTGATGAAATTGTCAAATTTGTGCTACAATTATATTGTACTTTGGAACTTACTGAATGTAATATACCAAACATATGACCTTGCCCATTACAGTTGCCTCCCTTTTATTATAATTACTTAAGAAGACGATTAATGAGGAAGTAGTTAGAAACATAATTATTATGTGCTCTGTACTGTCAAGTAATTATAATAAAAGGGAGTCAACTGTTATGGACAGTCATGGTTTTAGTATATTACAGTTCCCTCCCTTAAAATATATATGAAGATAACTTAGCACTATCCTCTGGGGTGGGCAAAAATATGTTTTGCAACAAATTATGTTTGCATTTCATATAAATTAGTATTACCTGCATTATTTTGTGTACAAAACTGACATGATTAAAGAATAATATATTAATATCTATTCTTTTTGTTCCATTTTGTCTTTGTCATTGTATGGTTTCACATAAAAAAAAAAAAAAAAAAAAAAAAAAAACTAAGAAAATCTAACAAAAAACAAAAAAAGACACAAAAAGTGGCTATAAATTGTACATGTGTATATCTAAAATAAAAAGATATTAAGTAATGTCTTGAAACGTAGATTCTTATGCTGTTACTAAATGCTAAATGTCATTTTGTAATACATTGTTGGAATATTTATTAATTTAAAAATATGTTACTTGAATGAATACGTAAAGATATTAATACTCTTATATATTTGATCTAATTTGTTACTTTGAATAGTTCAATTAACAATCCTATTTATAATTAATAATAATAATAAGTAAAAAATTTACCATAAAATTTATCTCTTTGATAAAAATCTTTTCAGATTTCATTAATGACATTAAATTTGATTTACTATAAGCTTAGCATTGATAACAGCAAAATATCATAGGATACTTATCCTACATTTCTTTTCTGCAAAAATATGATACATTTTTTTTTTTGTTATTTGGCACAATTTTTTTTCTGTTAAAACATTTTCGATCAGATAGATTATGAATGTATCATATTTTTACTGTTCGTTTTATAACATTTTCTTGTGTAACTTGTGTATGATTCACTATTTTATTATTGTTATATATTTCAATAAAACTTATAAGTTGTTATAGTTGTTGAATTTGTGTTTATTTGGAAGCAGGCATAATTTGGAGGGGGGAGTGGGGGAGGTATGAGAAGGGTTTTTAAATAGTTAAAATATTTGTTCTGAAATGTTAATAAAGGTATAATTTTAATACATGGATACTATTTGTTTTGTTCAGCAGCTTGTCAACAATTAAGTAAGAATTCATTCTTTAATAAATCAAGAGTTGATTATGCTAATTGCATACCCTTAGTGAAAACAGTTTTACCACTTACTGTGCTTGAACTTACAGCACACAGCCTTTGCCATCAGTATATAGCCTTTGCCACCAGTATATAGCCTTTGCCACCAGTATATAGCCTTTGCCACCAGTATAGAGTCTTTGCCACCGGTAAAGTACCAGACTATAATCTGCAAATCTGTGCAGTCTGACCAGGCTCTATACTGTTAGTTGATCAATTTTTACCAAAATTGCTAATGGACAGGTCAAAATTGGACAAGTCCATTCAAGAAATTAAGCAAATTTAGAGAAAGATGTATTAGATATTGCCACCCAATGAAAAAATTTCTTGTAAGCATGAAGTGGCTACTTACAAGCCTGGGTGCCTTACAATCGAGGATATACGGTATTTTTTATATCGTACATAGATGTATTTTCATTAAAGAATTTCTTCCTTTTTGCTTGTGCAGTGAAAGCATAGTGTTTGTAAACATGAAAAATTTCCCCTTTTGTGATGCAAGTGGGGAGGGATTATATGACTGTTACTTGTCTATTCATGAAATATGTCCTATACATCAAAGTAGTGAGCATCAAGTTCTCAATACCTTATGTCCCTCTTATATAATGAAACCTATATAAAATGGCCACCTTTACAGCCCTTGTGATTGATTGGGGTGGGTGCAACTTCTTGCAGATTGCATGGAATACATGTACAATCAGCATTTGACATACTTTTGCACATCAGTATAGGGGGTGGTTAAAATCTTGTACCAGAAATGTTTTTCTGTGCCAGTATACATGTACATATGTAGATATTTTTAATTATGGTGACTTCCACTTTCATACTTTTAGATGAAATTGTCAAATATATTATACTTAACTGAATGTAATATACCATACACACAACCTTGCCCATTACAGTTGCCTCCCTTATTTCGTCTGTACTGTCAGTTAAGTAATTATAATAAAAGGGAGGCAACTGTTATGACAGTCATGATTTTAGTATATTACAGTTCCCTCCCTTTAAATATATATATGAAGATAACTTAGCACTATCCTCTGGGGTGGGCAGAAATATGTTTTGCAACAAATTTTGTTTGCATTTCATATTAATTAGTAATACCTGCATTATTTTGTGTACAACAAGAGCTGTCGGTAGGACAGCAACGCTCGACTATTCTTAGTGCTTGATAGTAAAAAAAATGCTTGATACAGTTACCTCCTCCTGTTTACAGGTTGGGGTCATGATGGTGAACAAGTGTGCAAAGTTTCAAAGCCATATGTCAATGGACTTTGAAAATATTTGAACTATTACAAAAACTTTAACGTAAATTCTAAGTCGAAAAAGGGGCATAATTCTGTCAAAATGCTTGATAGAGTTACCTCCTCCTGTTTACAGGTTGGGGTTATGATGTTGAACAAGTGTGCAAAGTTTCAAAGCCATATGTCAATGGACTTTGAAAATATTTGAACTATTACAAAAACTTTAACGTAAATTCTAAGTCGAAAAAGGGGCATAATTCTGTTAAAATGCTTGATAGAGTTACCTCCTCCTGTTGACAGGTTGGGGTCATGATGGTGAACAAGTGTGCAAAGTTTCAAAGCCATATGTCAATGGACTTTGAAAATATTTGAACTATTACAAAAACTTTAACGTAAATTCTAAGTCGAAAAAGGGGCATAATTCTGTCAAAATGCTTGATAGAGTTTGAAAATATTTGAACTATTACAAAAACATAAGTGGTTACGCCGACGCCGACGCGGACGCCGACGCTCGGGTGACTGCAATAGCTCTACTTATTCTTATCGAATAGTCGAGCTAAAAATGACATGATTTAAGAATAATATATTAATTTCAATTCTTTTTGTTCCATTTTGTCTTTGTCATACTATGTGTACCCGTTGTATGTGACAATTGACCAGTGAGCACAAATAGATGTAGATATTTGACCAGTGTTAGGCAACCTACAAACTCCCAACCTCCATTGCTAATATAATAGATATACATACATTATTGAATGTCCTCAGCTGACAATAGCAAATAAAAAAATATAGTCCTATCAAATGTTAGACAATCAAAAATACAACCAGCCTCCGTTGGCACCAGTAAAATTTGCCAAATAAAGATTTTATGCGCCAGAATTAATATATTGTAGCATTGGCACCATTGGCGAGCGACAGCGGAAACCCTGCCAGGGTCAATTTATAAAGCTATGCTTAAAATCTTTCATTGACTGAATTCTACTTTACTCCAGCGGGGGGAGGGGTAAACCTTTTTTTACCCCCTCCATTCCCAATTTTTTGCCCCTGGATAAGGAATGTGTGGGATGCATTTTGATATGTATAGATGGTTAGAAATTGCAGAAAGACAACAAATCTGTAACATTCTTATATTCACTTTTCATCAATGCACTAGAAAAAATCATTTCCATCTATTGCTGTTCTACCCTTACCCCTATTTAAGGAATTTTTTTTTTCATTTTTATCATGACATCTTTATCAACGGCTGTAATAATAACATTTTAATATATATTCAATTCTGGGCTTTCACTTGTTGACCGGAAAATTCTACACTTTATGCCAAACTAGAAAAGATAGTAAACATTTGCAGTCTAAAAAAAAATCATTACTCTTTTCTGTCACAATGCAAGGGAAGTAACTGAAATAAGAAACATTGATTTGTGTGTCACAAGTGCTGTCCCTTTATTGAAGTGCTTTAGAATATAACATTTGTTCATTTATTCACATGGCCCTGTTATGAAGAGAATATATAACTAAAAGAATGTTATTTAAATAAAATCAAACAAATACATAATATATATTTTCCCCAATATTTCAAGGGAGGTAATTCAATTGTAGTTCAGACATTTTGTTTTTTACAAATTGTTTTCTCAACTTATTTATCTGACACATCAACTGCAGAAAATATGTCCCTCTATAGTTTAATGCTAGAACACTTCTTGTTAAATGAAGAGGTCTGGGTTCAAGTCCCAGTAGGGGGTTAAACTTCTGCAGTTGTTGAATAGGTGAAAACTTTATAACAACAAAATGTATGAACTACAAGAAGTTTAATCTTATGATCATTAAAGAAAGCTGATTAATATCTTTATCACAAAGGAGTTGACTATAATCTTGAGAGAAACTATTGTGTTTTTTATCTTGACTTAATTAATAATGGCTGTTATAAGTTTTAAGGACGTGCCGGTGCTTTCTGCACAACTAATTTAAAATATTATTGTATCATAGTTTGGGGACCTTTCTGTGGAAAATGTGTCAGAGTTAAATCGTGTACATATACATGCACAGTGTGTTAACTGGAGTGCAGGTATTAGTTACCCGCACTCCAGAGCATGCCCATTGATTGGTTCATTTTTGCTGGGTTTTTTTGTATTGTGACGACAGAGAAAGGGAAAGCGACAGAAATATCATCTTCTGATGCTTGTTCATTGGTTACTTTTTTCTGGGGTTTCATATTGTGGTATCAGGGAAGGTGTTTTTATGTTGGACTATGATACAAAAGAGAAAGAACATCAAAACACACGGCAATCTGATTCATACTCAGGGGCTACGCCCCCTTGTACAAATCAGATAGTCTCGTGTTTCGATGCTCTTTCTATTACTTATACTGCATTAAACTTCCCTATAACATTGCTGCTTGGTTGTCTTTCATTTTTCTTATGAAATTATTTTCATTTATCTCTTATTTTTTTAGGGACTTGGGAGCCACATAATATATTTGACTAATTTAATATATTTAGCCTCTTAGAAACTTTTGGATGGACCCAAGCTTCACTAAACTTGGTTTGCTTGCTTTTTACGACAATTATAACATATTTGATCATATCTTGATGGCCAGTCCAACTTATCCGCTTCCCTGAATAACTAGTCAGTTATTACCAAATTCTTGGCAAGTGGCCAACTACTTATTCCACATTATATCTGGATCAGCTGTTAGTATCGAGAATTATGGAAGTGTAGTATTTAGTACACATCTTTCAGGGTTCCTAACTTTATCTGCTGACCTTAGTCCTCTCATTTGTGTGACCTTAACCTTGGAGCTAGGTGACTAGGTCTTTGGCATGACACACTGTCTCATCATGCTTCAAATTTATGCCAAGTAATTTTAAAAACCTTTGATGCATGACAAACAAGGTTTTCAAACACAAGCAAACACAGACTAGGTAACTATATGCCCCCTTGCTATTATGGCATTGGGCATAAAAAATATATTAAGGTCATTTGATCATGACATTTTTCTATTTGAACAGGGTGAGGGCATGGTTCATTAAAACTGAAGTTGTATTTTTGAAGGAATAAAAAAAGTTTTATTGGTCTATAATGATATGACTGCCTGTCATTATAATTCAATGGTAACAATGTTTATAAAAACATTTAGGCAGTCTGAAGGACAGCTAAATAAGCAGACATGATGTGTACTTCTTGACCTTTAACAAACCATAACCTTGAAAGAAATTATTGTGCCAAGTTATTTAAAATTTTCCATAAAGTCAAAATGTTATGGAGAACATTTAACCTTGACCTTGGGGGTAGCAACTTGGATGTTGGGTTCTGCACATCTTGTCATAATGGTGATGACTTTTAACACTTGACCTTCAAGTGTGACCTTGACCTTCGAGGTAGCAACCCAATCATTGTGCTCTGCATATCATCACATAATGGTGATCACTTGTACCAAGTTATTTCAAATTTTTTTCAGCAGTTTAAATATTATGGAGCAGACACAACATGTACACTTTTTACACTTGACCTTTAAGTATGACCTTGACCTTGGATATAGCCACCCAATTATTGCGCTCTGCACATCGTCTCTTAATGGTGATCACTTGTGCCAAGTTATTTAAAAAAAAATTCTGCATTTTAAAAGTAATTAAGCAGACATAAATGTAGACTTTTTAACACTTGACCTTTAAGTGTGATTTTGACCTTGGGGGTAGCAACCCAATTCTTGCATTCTGCACATTGTCTCATAGTAGTGAACATTTGCACCAAGTTATTTCAAATTTTTTTTAGCAGTTCAAAAAATATGAAGCGGACACAAAATGTACACTTTTAACACATGACCTTCAAATGTGACCTTGACCTTGGGGTAGCAACCCAATTATTGCACTCTGCACAGCGTCTCTAAATGGTGTCCAGTGATGACTTGCGTTAAGTTCTTTCAAAAACATTTCAGCGGTTTATAAGTTATGGAGTGGACATGAAATGTAGACTTTTTAACACTTGACCTTTAAGTGTGACCTTGATCCTGGGGGTAGCTACCAATAATGGTGATCACTTTTACCAAGTTATTTAAAAAAAAAAATTCAGCGGTTTAAAAGTTATGGAGCAGCGGACAGACTGCCATACGGACAGACAGAGGCCATTCCTATAATCCCCGATGGGTCTGCCTATTTATTAAGTACATTAAAGATATACGGATAAATGTTTACTCACATTAAATCAAGATAGAAAATAACAATTAATAATAATAAATATTTCATATTTATTTCCATCATAATTCTACAACAATAATGTCTATTAAATAAATTTAAAAAGCAAAAATATATTCCCAACAAAGCACAAAGATTTAATGGAAACTATTTTAATGGAAACAATAGTTTCCTTATTTATGCTAAACCATTGTGGGAGAATATCGCTTACCTGATGAAAATAGAACAAGAGCCACCGCCGGGCAGGGGCAACGCTCGACTTTTAACTTTCTCTAAAAGCAAACAAAGAAATGTTTGAAAAAAATCTTAACGTTTCCTTTTTATAAAATTAATCTGTCTGTCTTGTCACATAAGTTTTGTCTGTATATTTTGTATATATAAATATACTAATTTATATATATATATATATAATAGAAACACGCAATTCTATAAATAGAAAATTCTATAAATAGAAACATGCAATTCTATAAATAGATACACGTGGTGATGTCACGTGGTTGACACGTGGTGGTGTCTTTTGGTGGTGTCACGTGGTGGAGTCACGTAGTAAAGTCACATGGTGGAGTCACGTGATGGAGTTACGTCGCCAAGTCACATGGCAGTGTCACGTGATTGAGTCACATGGTTGAGTCACGTGGTTGTGTCAAGTGGTAAAGTCATGTGGTAAAGTCATGTGGTGGTGTCACGTGGTGGTGTCACGTGGTGATGATGATGATGATATATATATAATTATATATATTTATATATATATATACGCACACACGCAGTTGAGTCACATGGTGGAGTCACGTGGTGAAGTCATGTGGTGAAGTCACATGGTGGTGTCACGCGGTGGTGTCACGTGGTAGAGTCATGTTGTGGTGTCATGTGGTCAAGTGACTTGGTGGAGTCACGTGGTGGATTTACGTGGTGGAGTCATGTGGTGTCATGTGGTGGTGACACGTGGTGGTGTCACGTGGTGAAGTCATGTGTGATGATGATGATGATGATATATATATATATATATACACACACCAATAAATATCTATGGTCATTTAATGCACAAATCTGAGAAAATTCAGTAATTTAACCTTCAAGGTCAAGGTCATTAAAGAGCCCAAGTTTTTGATAAACAAAAAGGTCTTGTCTTTATGTATGTTCTGTTATAATTATATGAAGTTGATCCCTTCAATAATAGCAAAGTTACAGCCAGTTACAGCCAAAACAATGAAAATTTCAATAATTTGAACTACAAGGTCATTAATGAGTGAAGGTCAAGGTCTGTCTGGTTATTTTTAAGGGTTATCCTTGAAGATTATTATGTTCAAGTTTGAAGACAATCCATTTAGAAATAACAAAGTTACAGCCAATAACAGTATGAACAAGCAAAATTTGGACTTTTAACCTTGAAGGTCAAGGTCATTTATGGATGAAGGTCAAGGTTAGTGTGGTCTACTGAAAGGTCTTGTCCCAAGGGTTGTTGTTGTGCGACTATAGCAATACCTCTACTTTTTTTTTCAAAAAAAAAAAAGTCCAGCTAAAAATCAATCCCAAAATTTGAATACTCCTAATAAAGCTATTCAATTTACAAAAATTCTAGATATTGTAGTGGATTGGAGTAGGCAATAACAGAAAATAAACATCAGGCAGTCACAAAAGCTAACCTCTGAGTACATATCTTTTGGTATAATCATAATAATACTTGTTTCTAATAAAGATAAAGACCAGAAGATTATCCCTTGGCATTGCAAGTTTCTGTAGAGAAAATATTTCAAATTAATATTTTAAGTTTCAACATATTAATTTCAGCTCATTTAAAAAACAGCGTCTTGCAACAACATCATTTTCAACTCTGCTAAGTACTTGTGGTGTAATATGAGGAATACTACTGGCTGTGACCTGAGAAGTGCTGGAACCTGTGTCCCCTGGGTTGAGAGGCAGACACCTTAACCACTGCATGTTTTCCCATATGTAGTAAATGTAACAAAAGTGACCCCAGTGCCTGGACAATTTTAGTCCCAGGGACATAATTTGTATCACTTATGTAGAGAACCAGTTTCAATATGACATGTAGTAAAATCCTGGGTTCCATTGGGCAAGGCCATTAAAAATATAGAGAAGAAAATTTCAAAGGTCTCACCAATATGAATTTATGATAAATGACATTACTCCTTTAGGCAAGGCCCATTTTGAAGATTTTAACAAACTTGTTAAAGGGACTCCACTGAGGTTTTTTGACATGATGGGACTGAAAATATTTTTCCAGATAATTGTACTATTGATGTAGGTTTTTGTGCAAAATTTTAGATCATTCGTGCACACTTTTTTTCCAGAACGTTTAAACACTTTTCACTCAAATTAGGCTAAGAAAATCATAAAAATATGATTTTCAATTTATTTCAAAGTATATTTCTAAACTATCTTTGATATATTACTGTTTAAAGTGCCCCAGCTCCTTTATGTAAGAAATTCAAATGTTATGTTTTTAGACTTATAAACCTCAGTGGAGTCCCTTTAAGTGTTTTACTAGACAATGCTACATCTATTAGCTTTTTGGGCCTTGTAGTTATGAAGATATTTTAATGTTTTTCCTATAATAGTGACTGTGTAAATTCCAATGACCCTTGAACTTAGATACCAATTTTGATCCCAATGTCATGATTGATTTGAATAAAATTGATTGACATCAACTAGACAATGCTATGCACCAAGCTAAGCTTTAGGCGTAATGATAATTGTGGAGAAGATGGGGTATTTTTTTACATTCACACCTTTAATACTAAAGCTCCTATACAAATATAAATAATTAACACCAAAATCTAAAAATTAGTCAAAGTACTATACACCATTATAATTATCACAGTATCACATAATGAACACTTTTTTCCTCCCTCAATTGTCTGTAAATTATGCACCACTAAATGTTCAACTAGTCCATTTCCCAACTAACTCACTACCATATTCTAGTCAATCTACATGAGAGTTCTTGAACCGTCTCCGATCCAGTTGTGGAGAGTAGTGACCTTGACCCTGGAAATATATAAATTATTTCAATATATAAATTATTTCAAATATTAAACATGAATATGTAGCCCAATATTACCTGTTTAACTATTTCATGTATTTGAAGAGATATTGAAATATTAGTAGGACAGTAGATTTTCTGTTATCTTATAATAGTCATGCTACTTTAAAATACATTAAGTTTATCAAGCTGGGGCACATAACTCCTATATAACTCTGTATTCAGTATCATGCTAGTAAACTCCCCTGCACTAATTATTCTATACCGAAACTTGGCAAATGTTGGTTTTTCCCAGATTTAAATCCATAGGTACAAACAAACTTTAACCTTCAAAGCTTCACAAAACACTACCTGTCACAAAAGATTATTTAACCTGTTGCGCTAAGTATTTTCGAACCTGTAACTGTAAAAGTTTGTTTGTACCTACATATTAGCTGGGGAAAACCCCAAATATTTTTCATTCCAGAGACTACTAAGTCTATTAAGTAACTATTAAGGAACAAAAATGTTGTTTGCAAGTAATTAGTCTACTGTATGTGTGTTTTTATTGTTTTTATAAACTTTTGGTTTAATAGAAACAAGAGGGCCATGATGGCCCTGAGGTCGCTCACCTGTATATAGCCCCCCCCCCCCCCCCCCCCCCCCGGGCCAATTTTTACCCAAGGGCTTTTATTTGTTTATTTGAACAGACTTGGTAGACACCCATAAGAAGATGTTTCATGCTAAACATCTAAGTTCTAGCTCATTGGGGTTTTTAAAAGAAGATTTTTTAAGTTTTTACTATACACATATAGTTAAAAACAATGACACCCCTGGGGCAGGGCCAGTTTTGACCCCCGGGCTTTAATTTGTAGATATTTACTTATAGATGTTTCATGCTTAATATCTTAACTAAAGCTATTTGGGTTTTTTCAAAGAAGATTTTTAAGTTTTTGCTATACACATATAAGGAAAATCAATGACCCCCGGGGCGGGGTCAGTTTTGACCCCAGGGCTTTTATTTGAACATACTTGGTAGACACCAACTAGAAGATGTTTCATGCTTAATATCTTAGCTCTAGCTCTTTGGGTTCTTTAAAAGAAGATTTTTTAAGTTTTTACTATATGCATATAGGGAAAATCAATGACCCCCCAGGGCGGGGCCAATTTTGACCCCAGGGCTTTTATTTGAACAAACTTGGTAGACACTCTTTAGAAGATGTTTCATGCCAAATATCTTAGCTCTAGCTCTTTGGGTTCTTTAAAAGAAGATTTTTTAAGTTTTTACTATATGCATATAGGGAAAATCTATGACCCCCTGGGGCAGGGCCAATTTTGACCTCAGGGCTTTTATTTGAACAAACTTGGTAGACACTCATTAGAAGATGTTTCATGCTAAATATCTTAGCTCTAGCTCTTTGGGTTCTTTAAAAGAAAATTTTTTAAGTTTTTACTATATCCATATAGGGAAAATAAATGACCCCCTGGGGCGGGGCCAATTTTGACCCCAGGGCTTTTATTTGAACAAACTTGGTAGACACTCATTAGAAGATGTTTCATGCTAAATATCTTAGCTCTAGCTCTTTGGGTTCTTTAAAAGAAGATTTTTTAAGTTTTTACTATATGCATATAGGGAAAATCAATGACCCCCTGGGGCGGGGCCAATTTTGACCCCAGGGCTTTTATTTGAACAAACTTGGTAGACATTCACTAGAAGATGTTTCATGCCAAATATCTAAGCTCTAGCTCTTACAGTTCTTTAAAAGAAGATTTTTTAAGTTTTTACTATATGCATATAGGGAAAATCAATGACCCCCCTGGGCGGGGCCAATTTTGACCCCGGGGCTTTTATTTGAACAAACTTGGTAGACACTCTTTAGAAGATGTTTCATGCCAAATATCTAAGCTCTAGCTCTTACAGTTCTTTAAAAGAAGATATTTAAAGATTTTTCTTTCGGTTGCCATGGCAACCAGAGTTCTGCATGGAATTAAATTCTTTGAACAATTTTTAAAGGTGACCACCAAAGGAACATTCCTGTGAAGTTTGGATGAAATTGGCTCAGTGGTTTATGAGGAGATGTCATTTAAAGCAAAAGTTTACGGACGGACGACGGACGGACGGACGGACGGACGCCGGACGGACGCCGGACGAAAAGCGATCACAAAAGCTCACCCTGTCACTTTGTGACAGGTGAGCTAAAAAAGTACAGAACACATGGCTGTGGGGGTGATAGTAAATATTGTCAACCAATGAAGTGGTACTGGTACCTGGCAATTCCCGTACGAAAAAGATAGCAGGATTCCGCCTAATATAAGCAGGAAAACGCTTAAAATTTCCGTGTATACAAGATTTTCCTGCTAATTTAAGACGGACACGGAATTTTGTAAAAAATCCTGCTAAGCAATTTCATATTCCGCCTAAGGCTTAGGCGGAAAATATGGGATGAGCCATAATTTAGGCGGGTTTTAGGACTTAGAATTTTGTCAGTTATTTGTTAACAGGAATTATGTACTTAGACTTTTTTTGTTAACCAGAAATTGAACTTAGAAATTTTTACTAGACAGATTTTCTGAATTAAGAGAAATTTCTGCAGAAGACAGGTAAATTATAAATCGAATAAGTGATCAACAATTATTTTGCTGCTTTTATTCATTGTTAATTTTCAAAACTAAAATATTGTTTGTACAAACATAAATATACATAATCATTAATTGATAAAAAAAAAACTCCACTACAAAACTAAAACTTAGAACATATATAATGATTTTGTGGTGACTTTTGCATAGAATATATTTCACAAAGTGTGTTAAATTTGGGTATGAAACTTAACTCATATATTAAGCTTTTTAATGTAATATAATTAAATGAGTAATATCCCTGAAAATTTCTTATCAACAGAATAAATAAATAAATACTGCCTCTAGTAACCACTCTACTATGATTTAACACCACAGACCTGATAACACACAGATCAGATCGTAAATTCTGCTACAGTCCAGACTGTTCCATGTGATTTATTTGGGGGGAAGCAACAGTTACTTTGTACATTTTATATGAAGAGTCTGTTAAGAAGGACTTTGCAAAGTTTTTTTAAAAATATTTATTATGAATTTTGGATTCTTTTTCCATTTATTTTTTGGTATGTTTATATAATTGTGAAAATAAAACGATGGGTTGGATTATCCCTGTTTACCATCATATCATGGACTTGTCCATAATTTGAAATCTAGCTAGGAAATATGGGTCAGCAGAAGCTGAGACAGTGGAAATAAAGCAAATAACAAGGATTTTATTGATAGTTAAAAATTGTGGTGATAATATATAAGCAATTTTTTGAGATAATATTTTTGTTTAAAGTGTAAGGATTGAATATTTTTGAATTTTTCAAAAGAAAAAAAATTAAGACTTAGCCTTGTGAATGAAAATGACAATAATCTGGATATGCTCAGTTGTAAAGGAATTTTGAATGCCACATTATGACCTTGGACAAGAAGATAAATACCAATATCATAAAAATTCAGGTAAGTAACTTTTGGATACATTTGAACAATAAAAATATATTTCAAATATATTAAATAATTTTGCATTAAGTTTGAGAGTAAATTTGTAACACTAAGGTTGGTTGTAATGAATTATAGTTTAAATGCATGTATAATTATAACTGCATACAATGACAAGAAACAATAATATAAGATATTAGTGGTGGCAGTGTTTTACTGATGACTGTTTGTGTTTCAGGATATGTCTCAAACTGGTGTAAAAAGAATGGGAGAGGAGGAGACAAGGATATCAACGATGCCGCATAACTCAAAGCAGATCAGTAATATGCTTGGAATAAAAATGAAAACAACTGGCTGAACAGAAAACATTTACAGTGAAATAAAATGAAATAATTTGCCATGGATTAAAACAATACAATAGCAGTGCAATAAAAATATATCACGTGTTTCTGTTTGTTTTTTTTGTGTGACTCTTTTACGTACTGTACATGCACCCTAATTTAGAAAAGATATGGTAAAGCTCACAAAGATAACTTAAAAGCTTTGTAATTGTGATCACCTATTGTCTTTCTGTACATTTTGGATTCCAATTATTCTTATGCAGCTAAATAATAATGTTGTATCCATCCATAATTCAGTTTTATTAGTGTACCATCACAAAATTGAATAACTTTCATTTCCTTAGGCGGATTTTTTGCTAGTATTCCTTAATAGAAAGAATTTTTCTCCTGCTAGTGATTTTTCTAAGTAGGTATTTTTTTCCTGGTTAAAATATTTTAGGCGGAATTTTTTCCGGCTAAGAATTTTCCTAAGGCGGAATTTTCTCCTGCTAGTGCTTTCCTTAAGCTGAATTTTTTCCTGGTTAAATTTTCCTAGGCGGATTTTTTTCCCTCTACCCTAACTGTTTTCCTCCTAAGAAAATTTGCATATTTCGCAGCGTATTCCTGCTTATAGGAGGAATCTGTGATATGTAAACCTGAAATGCCTTAGACGGATTACGCCTAGTAGCTAGGAGGAATATCTGCTTTTTTCAGGGCGAAACTTTTCGTATTGAGGCACTTGTTATCTATTTTATATGTGATCTATTTTATTATACCAAAAAACCTAATAACTACAATAAAAAATACATACAGAGTCAAAAGAAAAACTTGCAAACAATATTTCTGTTACTTCAAAGTGAACTTGTTTAAATGAATAGTCTGGTATCATTAATTTCTGGGGTGACTATTTTTTTCTATAACCCTGAGTGAGATGTGATATCTATATTTATCATAAACTTATTAATGAAATACTGAGAAATATTGATGCAAATTTATTTTTCAATACATTGAAACATATTTTCTGTATTTCCACTGGTGTCAACCTTGCCAGACTTTTCTCCTAAATTCAGCCAATACATAAATGTTAAGGGAGAGTTTTTTTTCAATTGTAATGTCAAAAAAGAGAAAAATGTATAAATAAACAGAAAATTCAAGTTTTTTCTATTAATACAGGATTTATTTCTATCTTGCAGTATGAAAATTAAATTATTTCACTTTTGGTTATCATGGTGTGGTTATTGCCACTCATGAAAAAAATTGTATATCCTCTATTTTAATTATGAAACTTAAGATTAATTCAAGTGAAACAATATAATTATGCAATGAGAACTTTTGTTTCCCTTTGGTCATGTACAATAATTTCATATCCTGGCAGTGTATTGTGGAATAATAAGAGCATAAAGGAAGATCATGTTTAATTTAGTTTGTTTGGTGTCAGTTTTTAAGTCACATATCAACACAGTGGTTGTCATATGGCAACTTTTCAGCGTAACTCTGGCCGAGGAAGACCTCAGATGCCCTTATGTACATATTTCAAGCCTTAGACAACATGACCCTTACCCCTAATTTGACCTTTCAAAGTAAGTAATCTTAACTACTTGACATACTTATCATAATACAATATGTAATTATGTTAAATAAGACAAGTCAAATATAATGTATTTCTTATAAGTATACATAATAATTCTATGATGTTATCATGTCATATAAAGCTCATTGTAAATAATGTTCCAATTAGAATGACATCTGAGGTTTACACTATAAATATGTAGTAAATAAATCAAGCATTGTAATATTATTTAATTAATATCATCAGAAAAGATATGATTACAATCAAACCACATGCCCCCACCCTCAGTGACAGCTAAAATACGTAAGAATTTCAACTATCTATCTATATTCTACATCAATAACTATAAAACTTTGCTAAATTCAACTATAGGGAAACAAAAGAAAGCTTAAGGATTTAGTTATTACTCAACAAGAGCCAAAGAGACAGATGTTTATGAATAAATGCATTAATTCTACGTTTCTTGAAAGAAACTATATTTTCTAAAAGGATCAGATACCAGTATCATGTTGTAAAACATCATTATCTAAACATTCTCAAACTTGCTCTAGTTTTGTTTTTTGCAACATGGATAATCACAGGGATTTTTTGGGGGCTTATTTTACAGCTGATGTCACATTCCCGATTGAAAATAGTATATGATTTTCCCAATCTACAGAAAAGTTCCCAGTTGAAAGTAACAAAATAAAAATATTGAATTATATGAAGTTTAAATGTTTCAAGACAGTGATTATTTGCATTCATTTAATCATTATACATTTTTTCCCCAAATTTTTAACAAAACATCAGTGAAATTCCCGATTCCATGGGTATGGGTCAATTGTTCCCAAAATCTAAGAAAAATCCTGAATCATAAAAGTCTTTTTTTTTAAATTATATGAAAATGATATTAAAGATTGGATATACACAATACCATTTTGTAGAATGGGAACAAAAAGTAGTGTAGATAACATTGGTAAATCATTACAAATATCCCATCATGGACATGGACTGATAACCTGAAACATTTAAATAAGACAAGATGCTCTGTCTCAGAACTTATTGTAACCCAATGGCAATATGACATTCCCGGCTGTAGAATGTCCATGGTTTCCATGGATTTATGCATGGTCAATTGTCCATGGAGTATTGGAACGTCCGTCCATGGACAAAATTTAATGTCCATGGATAATGTCCATGCTGTCAAGGGACATCCGTCCGTGGACAATGTCCATGGAGAGAATGGACAATGTCCATGGAGAACATGGACGTTGTCCATGCTCTCCATGGACGTTGTCCATGCTCTCCATGGACGTTGTCCATGCTTTCCATGGACAATGTCCATCCACTCCATGGACAATGTCCATGCTTTCCATGGACAATGTCCATGCTATCTGTTGCTTAATAATACTTCCTGACATACTGATCAAGAACTTCTAAAGTATCGCAATAGGTAAACATGTGAGACCTAATATGTCAAGTATTCTTTGGTCCAAGTATGAGTCAAATTCATTAATAACTAAATTATAACATTAAGCTATGACAATTAAGCTCAATTAAATAATTTGACCTTAAAGGTCAAGGCCATTTAAGGGTGAAGGTTATATCTGAATGATTCATTATGATTGCTTTCTCATCATTCATTAATAAAGATTAAAAACCAATTATAGCAGAAATCAAGCAAAATTCTATAAATTTACCTTTAAAGTCTATACAGGTCATTTATGAGTCAAGGTCAAGGTCAGTCTGGTCTTTTTGAAGGTCTTGTCCAAAGGGTTGCTATGTATGATGACAACTTATTTCGAAATAGAAAACAATTATGACCAATGTTAAAGTTAACAGTCCGCAACTGTGAGGTATAATAAACACCATAACTGTAGAAATTTACAGCTTGAATTTCTTTTGTCAAAAAAATCAAAATAATAATCAGGAATTCTAAAAATGTCTAATGTCAATGATGGTGCAAAATAAGGACAACAAGAGCCATGTCAACATTGCCATCCCCCGCCAAATGTGTTTTCTCATTAGAAGAAAGTATATGTAGTAGGGCAGAATAATTCAATTTTAAGAGGCCTCTGGGTAATGAAAACTGATGGCTGAAGTGATACCTATGAATACTGATGGCTGAAAATAAAAAAGGGCAATAACTGAAAAATATCAAGTTCTATCCACCTATGACTTTTCATGTTGACATCTCAAAAACTTTTGAGTTATGCTCCACTCAGGTGAAAAATTAAGTATGAAAAATAACAAAGGGCAATAACTAAAAAATTATGAATGGTACAGGTATCATTCTTATGCACTGCACACCTCCTGAGTGAGATCTATGCACCTATGAAGTTTCATGTAAATATCTCAAAGGCTTATGGCATTATGCTCTGGACAAAAATTAATTTTGAAAAATAACAAAGGGCAATAATTCAAAAATTATGCAGGGTAGAGTTATCATTCTTATGCACTGCACACCTCCTGAGTAAGATCTATGCACCAATGAAGTTTCATGTTGATATCTCAAAGGCTTTTTGAGTTATGCTCTGGACAAAAATTAATTTTGAAAAAATAACAAAGGGCAAAAACTCAAAAATTATGCAGGGTAGAGTTATCATTCTTGTGCATTGCACTCCTCCTCAATGAGGTCCATCCACCTAGAAGTTTCAAGTTGATACCTCAAATACTTTTTGAGATAAGCTCCTGACAAAGCAGTATGAAAAAGAACAAAGGGCAATAACTCAAAAATTATATAAGGAAGAGTTCTCATTTTTGCCAACAGCATTCCTCCTCAATAAGATCTATCCACCTATGTCATTTCATGTTGACATCTCAAACACTTTATGAGTTATGCTCCACTCAGGTGAAAAATTAAGTATGAAAAATAACAAAGGACAACAACTCAAAAATTATGAAAGGTAGAGTTATCATTCTTGTGCACTGCACACCTCCTGGGTGAGATCTATGCACCTATGAAGTTTCATGTTGATATCTCAAAGGCTTTTGTGTTATGCTCCAGTGTTCGAAATTAGCAGTAGTCCTATAGCCCCAGACTACTAAATTTCACCTCGGGCTACCAACTTTTCACAGTAACATGCCCGACCAGGCTACTGCATTTCCAGAGGCAATATAAACAACTGTTTTGAACAAATGAATCGTGCTAGTGAAATGTTTTTTTGGCTAGTGAATATTCCAATCTGGTTGTCCGACCAGCCTAGTCGATTCAAATCCTAATTTCTTACACTGATGCTCTGGACAAAAATTAATTTTGAAAAATAACAAAGGGCAATAATTCAAAAATAATGCAGGGTAGAGTTATCATTCTTGTGCATTGCACTCCTCCTCAATGAGGTCCATCCACCTAGAAGTGTCAAGTTGATACCTCAAATACTTTTTGAGATAAGCTCCGGACAAAATAGTATGAAAAAGAACAAAGGGCAATAACTCAATGATTATATTGGGAAGAGTTATCATTCTTGCCCACAGCATTCCTCCTTTAAGTTAATAAGATCTATCCATCTATGACATTTCATGTTGACATCTCAAACACTTTATGAGTTACATGTATGCTCCACTCAGGTGAAAATTTAAGAATGAAAAATAACAAAGGGCAATAACTCAAAAATTATGAAAGGTAGAGTAATCATTCTTGTGCACTGCACACCTCCTGAGTGAGATCTATGCACCTATGAAGTCTCATGTTGATATCTCAAAGGCTTTTCGAGTTATGCTCTGGACAAAAATTAATTTTGAAAATTTACAAAGGGCAATAACTCAAAAATAATGCAGGGTAGAGTTATCATTCTTGTGCACTGCACAATGAGGTCTATCCACATATGAAGTTTCAAGTTGATACCTCAAATACTTTTTGAGATATGCTCCGGACAAAAATGTTAGGCGGACGGACTGACGGATGGATGGACAGACAGAAGGATGGACGGAGACTATTTCTATATCCCCCGCCGAAAGGCGGCGGGGGATAAAACAAGAGCTGTCACAGGAGACAGCGAAGCTCGACTAATAAAATACTGGACGCAGTAAGGAGGACAAAACAATGAAAGAAAAATCAATTATGTATAATTATGTATTAAGTTATAGTAAAAAAATAACATTTGTTAACATTAATTCCAAGATCAAGGGGAATAATTCTAGAAATAGTCATGCTAGAGTTATGGACCTTGTCACACAACATTTGTGTAATGATAAGAAATATATATTTGAAGTTTGAAGTAGATACCTTAAAAAGTAAAGAAGTTATTATATTTCTTAAAGAAAATCCTAAGTTCAAAGAGAGTTAAATCTGTAAATATTGCTTCAAGAGTTATGAACATTGTCACATAAAATGTATTTGATGATTAGGAATAAGTATTTGAAGTTTGAGGTAGATACCTTTAAAAATAAAAAAGTTATAATAAAAAATAACATTTTTCTAGTAAAAAAATCTAAGTTTATGGGGAGATAATTCTTGCAATATTGGTGCTAGAGTTATGAACCTTGTCACATAAGATGTGGATGATGATAACGTAAATATATTTGAAGTATGAAGTTGATCCCTTTAGAAATAAATAAGAAACAGTAAAAAAAAAAAAAAAATTTTATGGAAAAATCTAAGTTCAAAGGGAGATAAATCTGAAAATATTGGTGCTAGAGTTATGAACCTTGCCACATAAGATGGGGAGGATGATAACGTAAATATATTTGAAGTATGAGGTTGATCCCTTAAGAAATAAAGAAGAAACAGTAAGAAATAGCATTTTTTTAGGAAAATTCTAAGTTCAAGGGGAGATAAATCTGAAAATATTGGTGCTAGAGTTATGAACCTTGTCACATAAGATGGGGATGATGATAAGGTACATACATTTGAAGTATGAGGTTGATCCCTTAAGAAATAAAGAAGTAACAGTAAAAAATAGTATTTTTTAAGGAAAATTCTAAGTTCAAGGGGAGATAAATCTGAAAATATTGGTGCTAGAGTTATGAACCTTGTCACATAAGATGTGGTTGATGATAAGGAACATATATTTGAAGTTTGAAGTTGATACCTTAAGAAATGACAAAGTTATAGTGAAAAATATTTTACTGCACCAAAACTTTAATCTAAAATCTGGACGCGGACGCGGACGCCGACGCCGACGCCGGGGCGAGTAGGACAGCTCTCCATATACTTCGTATAGTCGAGCTAAAAAGGTAACAGAACTTTGAGAATAGTACAAAATAAGATTGGATTTTTCTAATAATAAAATATAATTGAAATCATTTGTATATCTGTAGCCCATAAATTTATGATTAACAACTCTATATCATTCTGTTGAACTATATAATTTATAAAATTTAATGATATGTTAATTTTATTAATCCTTGACCTGTTGGTAGTAAAAGATACCATCGATGTGACCAGAAAACTCATTTAAGTTAAATTATTAGAACTTATTTTTTATTAGTCTTCCTTTAAACAACATAAAATTTTTAATCATAATCAAATATCAAAATTGACAAATGATCTCAGTAAATGTCCCTATATTTCATTATTTGTATAATTAACACACATTGTAATTAAAATGAGCCGTGTCAAGACAAAACCAACATAATGGGTTTGCGACAAGCATGGATCCAGACCAGCCTGTGCATCCGCGCAGTCTGATCAGGATCCATGCTGTTCGCTATCAGTTTCTCTACTTGTAATGATAAGCAAACAGCATGGATCCTGATCAGACTGCGCGGATGCGCAGGCTGGTCTGGATCCATGCTGGTCGCAAACTCATTATGTCGGTTTTGTCATGACACGGCTCAAATAATATACCTGTCAAATACACAACCACTTGTCATATTTCTTATTTGTAAGCTTGAAAAAAAAGAAAGAAAATAACTTGCTTTGTACTTCTGTAAAATTAATTTTAATGACATAATGCATAATTGTAATCAAAATATTATATCACATATCATGTTACATGTATATGTGTGATTTACATTTATGTATATATTTGCCATCGAAAATCCATACGAATGACTCATATCAGAAAACTCAACAGTTAGCAATTTTACTTTTTGTTTGTTTCGTCAACCTATTATAAATAAGATATTTGACAGAAAGACAGACAAAGATACACACATAGTGACATTATGCTATTTGAATATACTTAAATGCAACTTCATTGGTTATTCTCTTTGATTATACAGAGAGCCATTATACCAACTTTTCTCCTCAGACAGTGTACTCTTCATTTTTTGTTCTCAATGTTTGTCAACCACCGGAGGATTGCATATAGATACTTTTAAGTATGTTTTTTTAGAATTTAAGAAAGGCAAGCCATGAAAAGAATTATAACTGCAGCTGGAAAAATTCATTTCATTACTGTTTTAACTCTCTCTATATTAATTTTTCTTTAATGATTAATCTCTTTAATACATTTAAGTCATATAAATATTGCTGACGAAATCATTATAAAAATAGATCCAACACATTTGTAGGGCTTTCTTTTGTTAAAAGAAAACATAAATGATCACCTCACTATGACTGTCACATATTTGTCAGATTGAATTACATGTACCATAAAAAACCATTCAATGCTTATATTGAGACAAATCTTGATTCAACACCTGCTACACTTGTTTTTGTGACTTCCACTTTAACTAAAGTAGATTTTGTCACCTTTAAGTGCAGTAATGGGTTTTCTGAATGTATATTAAATTATATTAGAAGTTTAAACCCGCAACTGTATTAAAGTGATGATATACTCTTGTACCATAAATTATAAAGTCTTTAGTATAAATGAAGTTCAAAAACAAAACATATCAAGATTGTCAGAAGTCCTTCATTGAAAGACATCACATTTTCTATTTTTTTTTACAGTTTTATGTTTAACGGAAAATGCGAATTAAATTTGATTTTTAACCAATATAAAAAATAATTTGAGGTTTATGTCTAATATTTGGACTGAGGTTGTCAGTATCATCAGCTTGTAGTATAAAGCAACCATAAAAAATGTGACTGATACAATACTGCTGAAGTCAGATTAAATTTTGCGTGTCAGATGAACTTGTAGCAATTATTACCATTGTATAATTATGAAAATTGAAACTTTGAAAATGGAAGAATCATTTGATAGACAAAACCAGATGATGCTTAATTGTTTGTTTGTTTGTTTGTTTCATTTTACGCCTTTTTCCAACAGTATTTCAGTCATACGGGCGGGTAGTTTCCTAACCATCGTTCTTGGAGAGTTACACCAGTACTAGACTACCATCTTCCGCGCTAAACTACCAAAGCATCTCCCGGGGATCAAACCCACGCCAGAGAGGTAACTGGATTAGAAGTTATCGACTTGATGATACTTAAAGTAGGAAATAATATGTGTCAGAAAGACACAGAGTGATGTGCAGGGCCACTATAATATATGTTAGAACACCTGAGATCATGGGTAAGACTAAAGATTGTTTTGACAGGATAGCATATTGGTCAATTGGTAATTATTATCTCAAACTTTTTTGCAATAAAAAGACCATTAAAAGTAAGAGACAGACAGCTATAAATATAAACAGATTTCTAATATTTACACATCCTTAATTTTGGAGTTACAGAGGAAATGTTTCTCAGTTAACATAGGTTTTTAGATAAGGAACAATTCTTTTCATTGTTAAAGCTAAAGCAATGATTATCATAACTACTATGGTAACAAAGGCTCATTATGTGTAACTGACTTTAAAATCCCTTTGCATGACAGAGTTATGGACAGAACAAGATTTTCTAACTGCTGACCTTGGGTCTCTAAGAGTGACCTTAATCGTGTAGATATGAGTCAGAGTCTTGGGCATGATACACTCAATAATTGTGCTACACATTTGTGCAGTTATTTCAAAATCCTTTGATATATAATAGAATTATGATATGGACAAGATTTTATAGCTGCTGACCTTTGACAGCAAAGTGTGACCTTGACCTAGGAGCTAAGGGTCTAGGTCTTGTGCATGGCACATTCTCTTATCACATTTCACATTTGTGCCAAGTTATTTCAAAATACCTTGATGCATAACAGAGTTATGAGCTGGACAAGATTTTCTAACTGCTGACCTTTAATCTCAAGTGTGACCTTGATCTTGGACCTTGTGGTCAAAGTCTAGGCAAATTACACACCATCTCATCTCAAACATTTGTGCCAAAATGTGTCTAAAACATGGACTGGACAAGGTTTTCTAACACACACACTCACACACACATGCATGCATGCACACACACTGATGGAGAGGGGTAACAGTATATAATCACTTGCCATTATCATGGCAGGGGCATAGACAAGATTTGAGTTTGACCTGCAAGTAAGCAGGAAGATGGAAATGAACAGTCATTTTGTTACTGGGAAGGGGAATTAGCCAGGAACCAAGTTACATTATATTATAGTTTAAGTTTATTTATAATATATAGTTTATTGAGAATATATATATAACAAATACGTGATAAATTAGAAAATGTTTTTTCAATTCATAAAACAAAAAATAGAATGAGAAAAAGCAATAACTTAAAGCTGCCACCAAAAATAAATAACATATATAAATGACATTTTTACAATAAGCATACATTTACCCTCTGACTATTTCTTTCTAAAACAGCCTTAATTCTTAAAACTGATAAATTGGATGATTTTGATATCACTTTGCTCAAATTAAGCAGTTTTGGTTGCAGACTGCACTGATATATATACATGCTCCAGACTCTATTCACAAGCATTCACACAAGGTTAAAGTTAAATTTCTCTGATAGAGCAGTATATTTGAGTTAAATTTCAATTAAATGACATGATATTAATTTCCATGCCTTAAACAAATATATTCTTCACAACTGAGTGATTTACCTATTATTAATTATCCATCAAGACTCCAATTGTCATCTAGACTACAAAAGTGCACATTCAACAATACACACATTGTCATTTTTACCTTTATGGTGTAATGTTTTGAAAGTGTACATGTATATCAAGTTCGAAGTGAATTTACACGTAACTTTGAAAGTTACTAACAGACCTCAACAAAAAGGTAAGACTTAGTTGAAAAGGCAAAACTGTGCAAAAATCAATTTTAAGATTATCTGCCCTTTTTAAATATAACACCCTTTCATGACAATAAACATGTATACCAAGTTTGAATAGCATTTATAGTTTCTGATCAAAAAGATTTAGACCAATGCCAATGCCTATGAGAGGGTCATGACACACTATACATGTATATGTATCTCCACTGTTGTTTTTTTCTTCTTCTAAAAATTGAGCTAATAAAATGATAATTTCTACCATTAATTTAAATTGTGACATATGTATTAGAGAAAATAAGCACTGTCACAGGAGTAATGTACATGAGTATTCTCAGAGTCTGATAGAACAACAAGTAATGATAATGCATTCAGTTCAAAGAACTCATACAATAACTGACTAGTAATTATACTTGAGAGCTTAAAACACTTTTAAATTGACGTAGAATAAAATGTTAATAAACACATGTTTTGCACTATGCTCACAGTACCACAGTTCTGTCTTGTGTTTTTTTGTATTCAAAATGAAGATTGGTACAAGCAAAACTACATGTTACAGAACTTTACTACATTTGTAGTTATAATCCACAAGGGTAGCCATGAATTGTTACCCTAAATGTTTTACAGTGCTAGTTTGATACACTATTATCTTTTAACGATTCAAGCGTTCTGTGTTGATGAATTTTGGCAGATACATTAAATTTGCTGTTATGTTTAAAACTATCCAACACAATCCAACTGTTTTCTTTTTTTAAAACACATTTAATGAGACTTTCTGACATACACAGAATGGGCGTTGACTCTAGGACAGGGACGAATTTAGAGCACCGGACTATATGTTTTGAAAGTTTTTCCCTTAACATCAACATGTATCCTTGCATACAGATTATGATTTAAACCTTAAACTTCAACAGAACTTTCACTAGATCTCCCATTCCTTTGTACCTGGATATATCTCGTCCCAGTGTCAATATAAACATTCTTTGCAAGCACTGGAATCATGCATGGTTTGTTTTCATTTAGTCTGTTTGTGTTGGACTTGTAACTATATTTAAATGCTTTCACTTTATTACTTTCTCCATCAATGTTTTCAGTACTGGAATCTGATTGAACCTTCTCAACCTTAGGTTGTGATCTTTTTCTGCGTAATGACCTTGAACGAGACCGGCCGGTCCTAAATGTATAGTTCGAAACATCGATACTTCCATCCGGTTTCTTATCATCACTTGCAGCAGTGTATGGTTTTTTCAGGTCAGTTTCATCATCAGGACTAAGCATGACTTCCCTTTCCGCTTTTTTCACCTCAGTTGTACTATCTAAGGAGGAGTTTGAGGAGGAACTTGATCGTGGAGCTTCGCTAGAAGATGAGGACTTCTCCTGTTTTCTCCGAGTGGGTGGAGAGAAGTAGAGTCCTGCGAGAGACAGGGATTTCAGACAGGAAGGTGGGTGAAGTGACTGTGTGCATCTCATATCACAGCTACATGACAACAGTTCTTGAGGGCTGCAGATATTTATGTCACTGAGCAAGGATTCATATGTCGCTTTCTTGTTATCTTCAGCTTTTTCAAGCTGATCCACCAATGCAACCTTCAGAGCTAGAGCGACTACCTTTGGACATATATACTTCTCACATTCTCTCAGAACACACTTCCACAATTCATCTTGCGCTCCTATTGGTCTTTCTGAATTGGTTATTTTTAAAAAGTCTTCCTCGGATGTCAAAATATCGGCACTATATAAATAATCAGATATGTCTGTAACACTCACTCCTTGAATAAGTCGGCACCGAAAACATTTCAACTTTGACCCATTAGTATCCTTGTCACTGAACTCATCAAATAGTGACCAAACTTGCTTTAAAACTGTGTCATCAAATCCACAGTTATGTAACCATTCTTGCATTATCGCAAAATCCTTCTTCCTCAGAACACACAAAAATCTTCGAAACTGATCTTTCTTTTCCGTTCCTTTCATAATAAGGGTCACTTCTTCTCTACTCAGCCATTTTGGATGCCAACAATCATCCATTTTTTCCATAGCAGCATTTATTAAGTCAACTAGATTCCATTGTATGGCTTTCGATAAGCATTCCCGAAAAAAATTATTCAACCTCCTTTCTTCATCTGAAACAAGAGATCAATAATTAAAGACATACATATATTATTGAATCAATCTTATTTTGTTAATTGTTTTCTATGGAAAGAATAACCAGTTAATTTTTCTAATATTTCACTTTTTACAGTTTGTTACTTTATTTAGAAATGTAGGTAAAAATCATTTGTCCAGACAAGGAATGTTGATACATGTATTGAGACTATTAAAGTGACATTATGCTCATATTTTCATAGTCAAGTTGAGCTGAATTGACTTTATATTTCAAAAGAATGACTGTCAAAATGGTGTTTGACCAACAGTTGATATTGGAAGATGTTATGGATAAAATTATTAATCTGTCTAAAATTCAAAAAGACTGCCCCACTCTTTTTATAAACTTAGCATTATAGGTAAATTCTAATGGATATTTACAGAAATTTCGCCTTGATTTGTCTGTTATTTATTGTTTATGTGAACTTAATTATTAAATTGAAAGGAATTATGGCAAAATGAAAGCTTGTTTGATCTTCATCCGATCACTTACTATATACTCTTGGATGGGCATAATGTCATTAAACGGACACCACTGAGGGGGGATTTTTGACATAACAGGACTGGAAATATTTTTCTAATATTTGTGTACCATTTGATGTTGAGGTTGTGTGAAAATTTTATTGTGCAAAATGTCTCAAAAATGAAAAGTGTTGCAAGGTTTTTTTCCCCACTGAAATATAGCGCTTAGAATCATTTATTCCATTAACCTTTGCAGATTTTTTTTCATTTTAAGTGTTTCATTAATTTTGATTTATGTAACAATTCCAAATTTTACACTTTAGTCCTTTTTTGCTCAAAGGAGTAATTTTAAGATATATATGACAATTATCTGTACCTGATAAACAAGAACCGGTTGAACCGGGTGATGCTCCCTGAATTGATTTTGAACACAGAAAAGGTATACCTCTTGTAGTTTCAGAAATATGTCCAATAAATGAAATAATTCCAAACTTAGGCAAGACAGAGTTTTTCTTTGCACTGCTCTGATAATTTAACTTATGATATCTATCTACCAACAAAGTTTCTTGTTCATATCTCTTATAGTATCAAATTTATGTCCTAGACAAAGTTCAAAAAATAATTATAAACAAAGGGCAACAACTCCAAAATTAGACCAGGCAGAGTTAAGGTTCCTGTGCACTGCATGTCTACCCAATGAGATCTATCTATCTACAAAGTTTTATGTTGATACCTCTTGTTGTTACAGAGTTATGTCCCAGACAAGAAAAGCGGACAACCCACGGACAGACAAAGCAGCGACTATATGCTCACCCTTCGGAAAGCATAAAAATACAGTATATATCACTGCGAAACTGTGAAATTCTACTGGTTTTAGTTAAATAAATGAAAAAAACTTGTCAGGCAAAATGCAAAATATATCTTACAGGCAATAACTACCATCTTAACACCCCCACCCCCTTCCCCAGCTAGACCTTATACACAGGTTTGACTGTAATGAATGTGTTCAAAATAAAAACAAACCTTTATCTGAAGGAACAGTATGTGGACTTCTCCTTGTGTAGGCTGGCTTTGGAGAGGCTTTTCCATTGAACGAATTGTTCTTCTTCAATTTTGATCCAAACTTTTCTTCTCCTATAACTCCCCCATACTGAATAGATGCTAAATCTAACTCATCATCATCTTTAGTGATAACTTTTCCAACATTTCTCATCTCAGCTTTAACTTGTTTCATGAAATTGTCCTTTCCTTTCAAACTATGATTTGTTGATTTTACTCCACTGTCTTCACTTTCAGATTTATTTTTTACATGGATATGCTTTAAACTTTTCTCCAAACAATTAATTCTGTCATTTTGTTTGTAGACTTGTGATTCTATGTTCTCAAGTCTTCTATCTATTTTATTCAGAAAATTTAAAACTTGCTCCATTTTTTATCTGCAGTCCCAACATCTACCTGCTTTGTTATGTTACACGTCAGGTGTGTAAATATTAGACATTCTTTACTACAATTTTCCCGCCGAAAATGGTCACCTGACTGACTTTGGGTTCCCATCTAAAATTCTTTACATACAATGCATGTCTTGATTGGCTAAAAATTTCAATATCCATTACAAAAATTGCTGCGCAGATAGGATTAAAAATTAATCTTATATCAATGTCAATTTACTAAAAAAAGAATATGTAAACTTTGATCACGCAGTGACAAATCAACAACTCATGTTCTTTTGTAGTAGATATTTGAGGTATTTGAAGTATTTTACTGGGTATGCTACCCAGTACACTAAATTAAATCACCTTGTACTATATTATATACAGTCAATATCTCGGGTAGTTTCTTTTATACTTAAAACTGAGGAAGTAATTCAACGGTCTGCAGTATTATGAACTTCAAACAGAGTCTGAATTTCAAAGTCTTTTTTCTTTTCACTCAAAATATCATTATAAAAAATCACTTTTACCTACAAACAAACTTTTAGGGAGAACAATTGAACAACCTGTCATAGGGATAATTTTACTCTCAAATGTCTTTTAAACCACAAGTGATTAGGATAAACGTGGTCAGTATGGAACATAGTTTTTTTCAAGATTGCGCAACTTTTTTATATTCCACTTTCATTTAAATAACTACTGTACTTTAAACTTTGCTGATACTGAAAAAGTTTTCCTCATAAAACTTGATTTAAAAGTTATTGTATAATATCTATATTAAAGGAGCTCCACTAAGTTCAAAATGCCTAAAAATATAAAAAATTGAAATTCTTACATGGATTATGTGAAGAAAATGGAATGGAAAATCAGCACAAATTGATAAAGAAAAATGCACAGATTTAAAGAAAAAATTGAAAATCAATTATTTATGCGATTCATAGCCAATTTTGGGCCTTTTGCACAAAGAAAATGATGATTCTGGAAAAAAAGGTAGGGGGAATGATCTGAAAATTTGAACACAAGTTATTTGTCCAGATCACATCAAACAGTACATAAAGCTCACAAAAATATTTCTGATCCTGTCAAGTCAAAAAACCTCAGTGGAGTCCCTTTAAAAATTCATAAATGCATAATAAAGTTGCTATGGAAAAAAAGCTAAGATAGGGTCTTACTTCATGACAAAAAGATTTAATGTAGGTGAAACACTGAAAGTCAATGAAATAGTTTGAATAAAATATTTATGGTTAACCACAGTGTGCTTAAATAAGTCAAGGCGAGACATTGTTTATTGTCATGAACTATATTTTGGTATCTACTGTAAGGTAAACAGTTAAACACTTATTGTATGACTATCGTATAATTATAGAATGTCACCAGCCTAATTACTGCGCAGGATAATACGATAACTTCACAGTCAGGCAAACGGTGAAAACCACTCAATACATTACACATGAAAAACAGTGTTGCCTTGCATTAATGACGGTTGGCAAATTTTTAAGTTAGAAAATATATATGTAACTTTTTCTTATAGAAGTAGTTGTAATTCTATATAAAACAATCAGTGGGGCTCTGGACTACTTATGTAATGAATAATTTGGGTGGTGGGGGGTAGTATTATAGTGGTTTTTTAAATAACCAGTTAACTAAATGCATGAAATATTTATTTTCATGTATGTTTAGAACTAATATGAAGCCATCAAACTAATTCAAAAACTATATTTTAGAAACTAAAAGAAAAATAAAGTTGGGAAATTGATACAATGTAATTGTATAAAGCTAGCCACGGAAAAAATTTAAGGCCTGAGTTACAAAAACTTAAAATCAATTATTCAAAAATTCTACAGACCCTGTAAAGAATGGAGATGAATGGAAATGACTTTGTTAAAAATTGAGAAATATACACTTTATATACATTTTATATACATTAACAAAAATCTTGGTATAGCTTATATATGAGAACCGACTATCTTTACTAAGGTATTTAAAAAATCAAAACAATTTACTAGTTACCCATTCTTTAGAATCCCCTACACTGAGCAAATACCTTATGTTAACCTAATTTCTAGTGTGCCTCACCCACAACTCTACCACTTACTACTGAGGCTATCATTTATCAAGTAGGCTAAGTGAAAAAGAAAAAGTAAGAAAGATATACCATAAAATAAAATTGTTTCTTATATTTTGCCGACATCTTGAAATAAACTTCATTTTGACAAAGAATGGTATCATTTATGACTTATGTTCCTGCATCATGACAATTTTAGTGCTTTTATACTGAAAGCAGTTTTTTATTTTATTTCTCTTTCATTCAATGAAGTTATTACAAGTAATAGAAAGAGCACCGAAACACGAGGCTATCTGATTTGTACGAGGGAGCGTAGCCCCCGAGTATAAATCAGATTGCCGAGTGTTTTGGTGTTCTTTCTCTTTTGTATCATAGTCAAACATAAAAACACGTTCCCTGCTGTCACAATATGAAACCATGGGAAAAAGTTACCAATGAACGAGCATTTGAATATGATATTTCTGTCGCTTTTCCTTTCTCTTCTGTCACAATATGTAAACCCCAGCAAAAATGAACCAATCAATGGTCACGCTCTGGAGTGCGGGTAACTGATACCTTCACTCCAGTTAACACACTGTACATGTATATATATATACGATTTAACTCTGACACATTTTCAACAGAAAAGTCCCCAAACTATGATACAATTCAAATCATCACACTATATCCCATGTGTATTTTATGTGTATTTTTATCACATTTTGTCTCTAAATTGACAAAAAGTGTTTTGTTACTTTTAGAGATTATAAATCATTGCTCGCTTGAGCTTTCACTGATTCCTCTTTTAATGATATTGTACTTTGGTCCAGTATTAAAATACACATTTACAGCTCTAATCACATTTGGATTGTTCTCTTGCCTGTTACTCGACATATTGGTCACTCTTTTATTACTCTGTCTTGCTGGAATAGCTGGTGGTTTACAGTCCCCATCAAAACTATCTGAGCTGGTTTCGTCACAATGGACCATGTCCTTCTGCTTAGATGTTCTTTGTAACATCTTTTGTGATCTGTTTGGAACTTTTCTCAATGTCTTGTCTTGTCTCGGATTTGCTATAGGCACTCTAGGTGGAATATCTGGTTTCTTCAGGACTGTTTCATCACTATCACTTGACAAATCATGTGGTGGGTTTTCGCTGTCTACTTTAATGTCATCGTCATAGGATGACAAATTTGACTGAGGACTTCCACTTTCAGACGAAGAAGCTTTTTTACGGCTAATTGGAGGAGAAAAGTAAACCCCAGCTAATGACATAGATTTCAAACATGTGAAAGGATGGAATGACTTTGAGCATCTCTCCTTACAATGACAGTCTAATATATCACTAGCATCCACATCATCAATGACGTTTAGTAATGATTCATGTGAATCCTTTTCACTCCCGGTTTGCATACTTGTTTTATCTGTAAAAGCAATTTTAAAGGCTGAGACTAATGCCTTTGGGTAGATGTGCTTCCTACATTCTTCTAGAATGTCTTTCCAAAGTCCTTCCTGAGCACCAACAATCAATGCTGAGCTAATTATTCGCAAATATAACTGACGGGAAATAATTTCAGCACTAAATAGATAATCACAAACATCTTGTACATTTACAGTCTCAACTAGCTTACAATGGAAGCATTTCATTCTAAATCTGTTTGTCTCAACGTCACTAAACTCTTCGTAAGTTCTCGATACCTGCAGTATGACCTTCTCATCAAGACTACAACTGTTAAGCCATTCCTGCATTGTGTCAAAGTCTTTATCAATCAATACATATAGAAAACGTCTGAAACAATTCTTCTGGTCAGTCCCTTGCTCTATTGATCTTATTTCTGCTCGGCTAAGCCATTTTGGCATATGGATGGTCTGCTGGTCTGGTAAAGCTTTTACAAGATCCACGATGTTCCACTTTATAGCTCCAGACAAACATTCTCTTCTAAAGCTTTTCAACCTCCTTTCTTCATCTAAAAAAAGCCAAATATTTCCTTTCTTTATTAAATATTATAATAAAGAATAAATCAGCAACACAGTTTTCATTACAAAATTAAATATTCCTTACTCATCAAATCTATATTATTATATACATGTATATATATCTATATTATTACTTCCACACTATCAGGAAAGTTCATCTGTTGACTTTTTGTCACAATCTAACATGATTTTGTGTTTGATGATTGTTCACCACTATAGGATTTGAAATATTAAGACCATAATTCTTTAAGCTGCCTTCTTACATCTTTAAATAGATATGTCTTATGCTTAGATCAAAACAGTATTTTATTTCTATGGAGTTTGGTCGTTGTTGTCCAATTGGGTCTGGAGTGAGTGTCTCAACACAAATTGTTTCCATATAGAAACAAATTGTATGAAAAGCTTGAAAATGCTTTAATTGCTTTTAACGCCAAATTCCTCTTATATGCAGTTTAATCAATCTGTCAAAAGTTTAAATTATATTAGGTGTTAAACATAATAACTGATTTAACTGATACTACCATAATTATTTACAGATTTGCAGTATATATCTTATTTAATATTTATTTTAATATTGAAACAATATCAAATTTTGTTGAAATGATCACAATACATATGAGCTGCGCCATGACAAAACCAAAGCAATGCGTTTGCGACAAGCATGGATCCAGACCAGCCTGCGCATCCGCGCAGTCTGATCAGGATCGATGCTTTTCGCTTACAAACCCTATAACAAGTAGACAAACTGATAGCAAACATCATGGATCCTGATCAGACTGCGCGGATACGCATGCTGGTCTGGATCCATGCTGGTCGCAAACGCATTATGTTGGTTTTGTTGTGGCGCGGCTCATATAGGTTATATAAAACATATAAGACACACCTTTATCTGATGGAACAGTGTGAATACTTCGTCTCTCTTTTAATGACCGCTGTGTACGTCTCTCTTGAAAAGAGGCGGCTTTCTTAACTTTCTTCTTGGCCCCTTTTAAATCATTTTCATTGTAGTCGACATTTTCAATGTCTGCTCTCATTTGATTTATGAAGTTTTCATTTTTAGATTGTCTATTTTGAACCAGTTCAGCTTCGTGACTTCTACCTCTGTTATTTTCAGCACTGTTATTCTTTACACATTTCTCCAATTCTTTTATTCTGTCATTTTGTTGGGAGAAATGATCCTTAAATTCCTCAATATTTTTATTAAGTTTTTCTAGTAAAGTGAAAACTTTTTCGTCCATGATGCTCCTTCAGTAAATTTTTCCTTTCTAATGACAGAGTTTTTAGTCAATGTTTCAAAATATAGTCTAATTACTATTTTAAAGCTTTATCTAATGATTTAAATGCGTAATTTATTGCACTAGTTAAAGAACTGACACAAAAAAATCCCATTACATGTTTTTACAATGACTTGTTATTATGGAATGTTAAACTCTACTATAACTCTATTCAATTCATTGTCTAGGTATGACTAGACAAACTACCATTATAATAATAAAGTACAATCGGTAGCATTACCTGGTTTATTTCTAATTTACGTTTTACAATTAACTAATTTAATGATTTAACTTTAGATTATTGACTAAATAACATTATTACTTGACCAAAATTCTATGAGTCATGGTCTTAAGTGGGCAACTGCTGAATTCAAAGACTGAGATGGATACAAAAATCAGTGTAAATGGACTCAGAGCAATATGCCATTAGAGCCACAACATTTCACTTGGTAAGAAAACTGTAATTCAAGACTGGGACTCAAACCTAGGACCCTTGAAAAATATTTCAGCAACTGCACTGGCCATGCTGCCAATATTTTCTCCCAATTTATTAAACAGCTCTATAATTAGAAAATAGATATCAATTCTGAGTGCATTGTTGTGGAATAATGCAGGGTTTGAGTTCAAATGCGTAGTAATATAATCACCAAGGCCGATAGGCCTGAGTGATTTATTACAAAGCATTTGAACGAAAAACATGCATTATTATACAATAATGCACAAAGAATTAATATCTATTTCTATTCTAACACGTCAAGAAAAAAATACAATGATTACTATATAGGTGGACTTCATGTTTGGTGGTTTAATTTGTTTTCGCCTCATAGTTTCCAATAGAAACGTTCTTTAAGGGCTGTTCCAGTGGGTTGAAAAAAACTGTCGTTTAATCTACCATGTGTAGAAACATTTTGAGAACAACAAATTTTGAAAACGTTGATAAAACTTTGTTTGTTTATTTTATTTCATTCTATATTTTCAAGCTAAAAACAAAGTATTAATAGTGAAATAAATGTGAAATTTTACTCATTTGCAACATTGAAATAGCGTTCTTGATTTGATTTTTTTTGCATGTGCTGTTTGGCGCTACATTGTGACATCACGTAAACAACACTTTAAACGTCTGTACAGCATTAATGACTGAATTAAAGATACTGGTGTTAGGATTTGTAAATAATTCTGTTTGAAAATACACAGGGAGGTAATAAGGACAGCAAGTGCATAGTTGTAGAATAATGCACGCTTCCAGACTTCTTTGTCTATATAGGAAAATTCCGAAAGTGTTAGAATAAGACATAGAGTTTACAAAATCTTTCACAGACTCTGTGTCTTACATAGGTTAAGTCCTGATAATGAACAGTGTAATATACAGCAAGCAAAACAGCATTGTATTTGGTAATTTTTAAGCTAATATCTAAAATTACACTTCAAAAACAAATGCTGGCGGAATAAAAGTATTTTAAGTAATTTATCGTGGAGGATTCGAACAATCTGTCAAACAAAGATGCAAAAAGAAAAATCTGGTATAATTTTGTTAATATCAATGACTTATGTTCTGTTGACATGAAATGGGTATGAAGGTCATAATAAGCATATCATGTCTCAAAGGTTCAGTGAAAAGGTCATGAGGAACTGAAAACTGGAATTCAAAGTTAAACAAGAATTAGTAACAGAGTAACCAATGTCCCCTGCCTAACGGAAGTTTTACACGAAGCACAAATTGTACTAATTATCAAAAGATTGAGAAAACAGTGTAAAATCTTGATCAATGATAGATCAGCAAATGCAAAATAAATTCAGTTAAGAGAAATAAAATGAAATAACTCCTGTGTATGTGTCAACATAAATACGTTTGCATAGTTGTTATCACTATTCCAAAACCACAAAATGTGACAAATACAAAATCAAACAAGAGGGCCATGATGGCCCTGAAGTCGCTCACCTGTATATAGGCCCCAAGAGTTTAAACCCCAGGGCTTTTGTTTGAACAAACTTGGTAGACACCCATTAGAAGATATTTCATGCTAAACATCTAAGGTATGGCTCGTTGAGTTTTTAAAAAAATTTTTTTTTAAGATTTAACTATACACATATAGTTAAAAGCAATGACACCCCTAGGGCGGGGCCAGTTTTGACCCCATTTGACACTCACTAGAAGATGTTTCATGCTTACTATCTAAACTTTCAAAGAAGATTTTTTTTTTAAAGTTTTTGCTTTACACATATAAGGAAAATCAATGACCCCCGGGGCAGGGCAAATTTTGACCCCAGGACTCTTATTTGAACAAATTTGGTAGACACCCATTAGAACATGTTTCATGCTAAATATCTTAGCTCTAGCTCTTTGGGTTCTTTAAAAGAAGATTTTATAAGTTTTTACTATATGCATATAGGGAAAATCAATGACCCCCTGGGGCGGGGCCAATTTTGACCCCAGGGCTTTTATTTGAACAAACTTGATAGACACTCATTAGAAGATGTTTCATGCTAAATATCTTAGCTCTAGCTCTTTGGGTTCTTTAAAAGAAGATTTTATAAGTTTTTACTATATGCATATAGGGAAAATCAATGACCCCCTTGGGCGGGGCCAATTTTGACCCCAGGGCTTTTATTTGAACAAACTTGGTAGACACCCATTAGAAGATGTTTCATGCTAAATATCTTAGCTCTAGCTCTTTGGGTTCTTTAAAAGAAGATTTTTTAAGTTTTTACTATATGCATATAGGGAAAATCAATGACCCCCGGGTCGGGCCAAGTTTGATACTAGGGACAAAATTTGATCAACTTTGGTATTGGACCTTCAGATAATTACAATATACCAAATATCAAAGCTCTAGGCCATTTACTTTCAGACCAGAAGATTTTTCAAGTTTTCACTATATGTATATAATGAAAATCAATGACCCCCCAAAGGCCAATTTTGACCCGAGGGCCATTATTTGAACAATCTTGGTAGAGGTCAACTTTACATTGTTTCATGCCAAATATCTAACCTGTAGCCTTTACAAATTCAGAGAAGTAGATTTTTTTTAGGTTTTACAATATACATATAAGGAAAAACCTATGACCCCCCCCCCCAGGGCGGGGCCGATTTTAATTCTAGGAACAAAATTTGAACAACTTTGGTTTTGGACCTATAGATGATACCATAGACCAAATATCAAAGTTCATTTACTTTCAGACCAGGAGATTTTTCAAGTTTTCACTATATGAAAATCAATGACCCCCGAGGGCGGGCCAATTTTCACCCGAGGGCCATTATTTGAACAATCTTGGTAGAAGTCTACCACACAATGTTTCATGCCAAATATCGTACCTGTAGCCTTTGTCAATTCAGAGAAGAAGATTTTTTTATGTTTTACTATATACATATTAGAAAAACCTATGACCCACCCCCCCCCCCGGGGTGGGGCCAATTTTGACACTAGGGACAAAATTTGCACAACTTTGGTATTGGACCTTTGATGATACCATAGACCAAATATCAAAGCTCTAGGCCATTTACTTTCAGACCAGAAGATTTTTCAAGTTTTCACTATATGTATGTAATGAAAATCAATGACCCCCCAAAGGCCAATTTTGACCCGAGGGCCATTATTTGAACAATCTTGGTAGAGGTCAACTTTACAATGTTTCATGCCAAATATCTAATCTGTAGCGTTTGCCAAATCAGAGAAGAAGATTTTTTTAGATTTTACTATATACATATAAGGAAAAACCTATGACCCCTCCGGGGCGGGGCCAATTTTGACACTAGGGACAAAATTTGAACAACTTTGGTAGAGGACCCATAGATGATACCACATACCAAAAATCAAAGCTCTGGCCCATGTACTTTCAGACAAGAAGATTTTTTAATTTTGTGTTTTTTGAAATCCTTTTCTGGCCCTATGACCTACATATGCAACAGACCGGAACCATTTGAACAACTTTGAAAGGGGACCACCCAAGGATCATTTCTGTAAAGTTTGGTTGATGTGCAGTCATTGGTTGCAGAGGAGATGTTGTTAATGTTCAAAAGATGATGACGCACGACGAGGGACACAGGGCCATCACATTAGCTCACCCTAGGTGAGCTAAAAAAGGGTATGGTCTGTTACACGATATAATTTTTTTGTCAGGTACTTAACTTTTTCATAGATCAAGGACTTTGAAGATTTATGGGCATTTCACCAATGACATTTTATTTGACAGGGTATGACTTAGCATCATACCCTGTAACAGACCATGTTAAGCTCTGACTTCCAAGTTTGACCAAAGAGGTCCGGAACAGTTGCGAGGTCTGGGTGTTGCGCTTGACAATTTATCTTATTTTTGTGAACATTTGTGTTAAAATTAATTTCAAAATCCCATGATTGATGAAAAAGTTTTGGAACTGACACAAAATATACCCCATAACAGACCATGTTAAGTTTGAACCCCAAGTGTGACCTTGACCTTAAATGGGGTTTGGGTCTTGCACATGACACATCATCCTACTTTTGTGAACATTTGTACCAAGCAGTTTCAAAATTCTTTGAACAAGTTATTTTAAACTCCCTTGAAATTTGAACAAATTAAAGACCTGACGGATCAAATTAAGATTTGACCTTCAAATGTGACCTTGAGCTTGAAAGTAGGGACGAGTGTTGTGTACATCATACCATTATTGTGAACATTCATGCCAAGTAACTATAAAATCCCTTGAATAATTAAAAAAAACTATGGACCAGACACAAAATATACCCTTTAACAGACCTTGTAAAGCTTTTAATCCCAGGTGTGACCTTGACCTTGGAGTTAGGGGTCAGGGTAGCACATGATATGTCGACCTATTATTGTAAAATCCCTTGAACAATAAACAAGATGGCCATGATGGCCCTGAAATGGCTCATCTGAATATAAAAACTCTCCATGAACAGGAATGATTTTGACCCCAGGGCTTTTATATGATCAAACTTGGTAGACACCCATTAGAAGACGTTTCATGCTAAATAACTAAGCTCTAGTTCTTTGGGTGTTTTAAAAGAAGATTTTAAAAGTTTTTAATATATAAATATAAGGAAAATCAATGACACCACCACCCCCCCCCCCCCCCCCAAGGCGTGCCGGTCAATTTTGACCCCAGTGCTTTTATTTGAACCAACTTGGTAGACACCCACTAGAAGATGTTTCATGCCTAATATAAAAGCTCTAGCTCTTTGGTGTTTTTAAAAGATTTTTTAAGTTTGTAACATATACATATAAGGAAAATTAATACAGAACAGAACAGAA